CAAACTCGACATTCAGATCATCTTGCAGGGGACCGCCGTACGGATCGCACCAGGATGAGTGTGCGCCGCCAACCTGGGGGCATGCGGCGCCGTAATTGGTGAAGTCCCGACTCGGTCTGCCGTCGAAGCTCGACGGTATATCTTTCAACGGGACCGACGGCGAGAAGCGCTTGGGGATCGTGGCGTAAGGAACTGAACGGAACTGCACGACCGAGTAACCCGGGAATTCCACCGACTCAACCACTCGCCCAGTCAGTTGTCCAAGCTCGGGATGGGAAACGGTGCGTCTTTGGCCTGTGTAGGCTGGCTTCCTGGATGAAGCCATTCCGCAAGAGTAGTCCAAGACGTCAATGTAATGTCAAGAAGCACCGCATCAGCCCGAGTGGTCTCGCTTCTTGAGAGAGGGTTTTATTATGAGTTTGCCATCATCATCATCATCATCAGAGCCGCCGGTCTACTGGTGTTGGGGTAGACCCTGGCACCAACGCAAGTGTCATTGCGTGGGGAATATTCCAAATAGAGAATTCCCCAAGGGGAAAATCATTTTCATCTCGCCCCCCGCACACGGGCTACCCCCGAGGCTGGAAATAAGGGGATAACTCCACGAGGCCATCTTTATCCATTGATTAGTATCCGTGCTAGCTTAACCGAGCATAGTTTGATAGGGAGCATGACTCCATTTCGGTTGACCATAAAGTATGGATTTTTATGTATCCAAAGTCTCTGTGACGGGGCGTGGAATGTGTGATACCATGAGTAATAGGAATTGATCTCGGCCATGCCTTGTACCATCGACTCGGTCGAGGTATACAATCATAGTCATGTGGATGAGCCATGGCTGACCGGGAAATGGGATGTCTGTGAGAAGTGCTAGTACAACAATAGTCCCTCTTTGATGCTAGTTCCACATGAGGAGGCGACAACCATGAGGGGAGAGTCCACATGCCAATCGAGGGACCATCTTTTTTCACCATAATCACCTGTGCCATGCCTGCAGATACCTCACGCAGAGTCTTGCCGTGAGAAGAGCCACCAGTGCTGCACGTAGCTATCAGCAGCGCGCTGTCGACGGTGCCCATGTTTACCACATTCTCCCTCTCCAGTGCCGCAGGGCGCCCTCATGACGGCACCGGTGTGCGGGCTTGCGATTCATGTCGCAGACTTAAAATCAAGGTGAACTCCAATGGCCCAAGCGAGGATGCGCTCTTGTCTGATCCTCCGTGTCCAGTGCCAGGCTCGCCAAGCCCCGTCTTGCTCCTCTCCTCGACGCTCACCTCCCTGTGAACAGTGCTGGCTCGCAAAGTCGAAATGCACCCGCACCGACCTTCCCGCCAGGCGCGGCCGGCCTAGAAAAGCGTGAGTGTGACTGTATTCCCTTCTCACTGGCCACGACGTGCTGACGCCCACTCTAGGGAGATCCGTAGAGCACAGGATACATTCTCGGAACAACTTTTCGATTCTGGCAGCACCCTCCCAGCCACGCCGAGGTCGCTGTCCAGTACTTGCAGGGTCTCTCCATATATTGAAGATGATGTAGGACCGTCACAGATCTCCGGCCAACATGAAGGGGGAGAGCACACCCCATCATCCGCATTAGATGGAACCAACTATGATATCGCGACGCCAGATTTCGTTGGCGGGGACACAATGCTGGATGGCGTCGAGCTGGCCCCGAACCAGATCTACCCCCTGGATGGCAGACCATCTGAAGAAACTGCGACTCACCAAAGAGCCGACATCTGGGAATCCATCGACGAGTTCTTCGACACGACGTATTTGATCTTCCCCATCGTATCCTACGCTGAGCTTGCCTCTCGTTTAGTCATGGAGCCCAACTGGGAGATTGTGCCAGACCTACGGACGTTGCTCTACTCGATCCGACTGGTCAACTTGGCCGCGCGCTACCGTATGGACCATCAGAACGGAGACGAGCTCGTCCAGCGTATAGCTCAAGTCGAATCATCCCGGCAGGCGTACGACTTTGCCGACCCAGCGACCTTGGATGCCGTCTTCTGCTCTCTGACATTGTTCACGGCCAACAGTGTGCTGGCAAAGCACGGCCGAGCATTTTTGCATTTGAACGAGGCACAAATCCTCTTTGACCATGTCGAGCCATCTGGATACGACGAGCAGCAGAGGAAGTTGCGGGTCGAGCAGGTTCTTCACAACACCGAGTCTGCCACCCTGGCGATATACGGGAATAAAGAGAAGAAGCTGCAGACGAGGAAGCGACCTACCTGCTCAGACACTGTCCCGGCTCGAGTGGGCGGAGCCGACACTGGTGAAAGACTGGGAGGGGTTGCCGGCCAGCTGCTCCAGTGTCTGACGCGCATACATTTGGCAAGGAACGCCGACGATATAAGCAAGGTGAATCTCGGATCGGACGCCGTCTTATCCAGCCTCGGGCAGCATCGCTATTCGCGGATCCAGTCGGCCGACGTCATGGTCACCCGGCAGTGGCAGCTCTCGTGCAAGATCCTCGCTGGCTACCAAGAGGGCGCCGGCCGCGAAAGGCCACCCGCGTCAATGATGCAGTCTCTGGGGGTCATCGCCATGTCGTGGATATGCGTCCTCAAGCAGGGCGAGCTGAGGATTGTTGGCTTAGGGAAACTCGCTGAGCTGGCCATCAACATCTTCAAGCTGCCAGGCGGCGGTCACCAAGACTCCCTCCGCGGGCTGACCGGCGCGGTGATGAAGGAAGACTATGAAGGGAGGTTTGCGCTCCCTCTCGCAGACCTAGTTCTCTCGGTGGCGTATGACGTGCCACCTATGATGGAGACGCCTCAAGACCGGGAACTTCGCTACTGCATGATGGCGCCCTTGGCTGCTCAGGGTGCACCAAGTGGTCCAGAGACCGAGGAGGTGGTTCGACAGTTTCCCGTCATCCAGCCTCTTGTTTTTGGCGATTTTCATCAAGGTGGCACTTTTGAGGCCTCGAGTATTATGCTTTCAGAGTGCAATCACTTGGAATTTTAAAATAAGAAGAAAAAGAATGTAAATCAAGACGAGTCTTTTAGGTAAGGTACATGTAAAGAGACTAACTATATATTGCCGTTACATAAATGAAATAACAACACATGCCCTGTGGAGAAAATTCCGCTGTTCCGGTTTACATGCCGTTAATTGACGAGAACTAAAGCCCAAACGCTTGGGCAAACTCTTCTACTTGTTTTTCATGCCAGAGCTTTGTCACGGTGGCATTGACCGGCATCGTAAACCCGTGCGGGACGCCCGGCAGGACCTCCTCGCTCACCTCTACACCATACGATCGCAGCAGGGTTGCATAGGCCTGGCCCTGAGCCCTCAGACCATCACAGGCCGCCACGGTGATGGAGGTCCGAGGGTGATGTGGGACAGGTCCGGTGGCTAGGGGAGACACCAAGGGGTCAAGCGGGTCGCAAACACCGCCGGTGAAGAAATCTGCGAGATGTGTGAGCATGGCAACCGGGAAACGGGTATCATTTACGAGTAAGGGGTCGTACTATATAGCTTCTCGAATTCTTGAACAAGTGCTTCTGCAGGTGGGGTCGCGTCCGCAAACAGCTGCTCGCTCTCGCTGGCCGGGAGACACCTCTGCTGGCTGAACTTTGCTTCAGCTTCCGGGTGCGCCGTGACGGGGACGACCAGGCTGACCAGGGCCAATGCCGGCCTCTGGGATGTGGGTGCATCCTTTGCGCAGCGCAAGGCGAGGGCGGCGGCGAGGTTCCCTCCGGCAGAAGCACCCCATACGCCAATCCGGTTGATGTCGATGTTGTAAGTTGGTGCATTGTCAATCACCTTGTCGGATCATTCAGCCAGGGGTTCGTCAACAGGACTTGCAAAGAGAAGTGACATACCCATTGCAAAGCATCAGTGCAGTCGTCGAGTGGTTTTGGAAACGGATGCTCCGGTGCGAGCCTGTAGTCGATGCCGAAGACGACAGCGTCCAGCTCAGATGCGAACACTTGGGCAAGTGCTTGGCTGCCTTAGCTTGCGTGTCTCATACTGGGCTGGAGAAGAGAGTCCTCACCTTCGTCGCCGGCAGGGTTCCCATGGATCCAACCTCCGCCGTGAAGCATCAATATAGCTGGCCGCCGAGCTCCTGCGGCTGTGGGTTCGTACACCCAGATCCCGTACTCGCCATCACCGTCCGTGGCGTTGACGGTGATGATCTTCTTGCCCACTTCTTGAGGCGGTCGGCGCAGTTTGATATTAAGCTTGGCTCTGTGCTCGGCCAGGGGCCCTTTTACCATGACATTGTTGACCCATTCGCGCATGCGGTCGACGTCTGTGCCCGAGGGCATGCCGGCAAAGTTGACGGGCAATTTCGCAATCTCCTGGAATTTTTCTTTCTCATTAGAGCACATTCAGTGTGATGATCAGCTTGTAATATGTACCTGCAGGAAATTATCGTCAGGCTTCTGCTGTGCGAGCTTTGCGTTCGGATCCATCCCCAGAGCCATGGCGATGGCTTGGAGCGTTGCCGCGTCCACGTGCGAACCATCAATATCGTCCATTTTTTTTTTTGGTGATCAGAAACAAAATATGAAACTATACGCTGCAGAGGTGCAGTGCTATTGCTAGAATCAACAGGCACCGCTTCTTTTGAGCTAAGTCGACTCTCCCTTGGCGGCCGCGAGTGGGCAGGTCACACTGAGTCATGTCGATACTAAAACCGGTGTATTTCCCAATGGAGATTTTCTGATCTGGTCATGTCATGCGTCCCGTGATCTATGATCTAGGCTTACCACTTTGGAATTTCCCCAAGTTGCCTAGCCCTGGGGTAACCCTGGGGTAGCCCACACCACATACAGTATTGCTAAGGGGCCATGGAGAAGTCAAATTTGCTCTACAGCAAGGCTGCGTGCCAGTTGCATGAAAACCCGGGGATTGTGGAGGAAATATAACCAGAGCCAGGTTCCCCAGAATCCCAAGGTTTCATTCCTCGTCAGTCTTGCAACGAAACCTGCGAGGCACTTATTCCAACTTTCTTTCAACTACTCACTCAAAGGTTATTGGCCATGTCCCTTGCAAAGTCTCAGTCGGCTTCCGAAGCCCGGGTGGAACATGTTGCTGAGCCAGAACATGATATTCACAATGCCAAAGGATGGCTGAACTGGCCAACATTCTGCTATAGTGAGTCTTGGCTTCCGTCTTAAAAGAAGCAGATGGAAGGATGCTAATCGCCCTCTCCCCAGTGGTCATTATCGGTCTGTCCATGGGGCTCTATGGCTACGACAACAACTTTGCCGCTCCACTGGTCCAGCTGCCCCTCTTCATCCAAAAGTATCAGGGCCCCGGGCTCACTTTCACCGTAAGAAGACGTCCAACTATACCGCAGTGTCGACTTGCAGCTCTCTGACATGCTCCCGAGGCAGGCCCGGAACCTGAACCTTCTCACCCCTGTGCCCCTTGTCGGCGCAGCGATAGGAACCTTCATCGCGCCTGCGGGAATGCGGCGCCTGGGCCGCAAGAAGACCATGATAGCTGCTTACGGCCTCCTATGCACGCCCGGATCATTCCTGCAGCTTTTTGCACCAAACATGGCCGCCTTGGTCGCCGGTCGTTTCTGGAACTGTGCGCAAACAAACCCTTGTGAAGAAGACTCTCAAGACACCTTGGCTAATCGTTTAAACGCAGATGTCGGTATTAGTATCTTGACAACCACTGCCCCTCTCTACCTGGCCGAGTTTGTCCCCGCCGACTTTCGCGGCAGGGCTATTGATCTCTGCTTCGCAGGTGTCGCTGCCGTCGGCGTCCTCGCGACCACGGTCGTCTGGGGCACGGAGAAGATCAAGGACGAGCGACAATACATGATACCTCTCGCCATACAAGCGGCCGTGCCGGTAGGGCTTTGCCTCCTCACCTTTCTGATCCCAGAGTCGCCGGTCTGGGACATCCAGCACGGCCGGCTAGACTCTGCGCGGCGCACGCTGCTGGTCCTTCGCAACAACCGAGCCGACATTGTCGACGCCGAAATCTCCATGTACCAGGCCGCCGACGAGCGCACGCAGGCGTCAAACTTCTGGCACATCCTGGACCGGGAGAACCTTCAGCGCACCCTGAGCGCCGGCACGATCCTGTCGGCGTCCCAGGTTGGCGGCCAGATCCTGATCTTGACATACGCGACCGTCATCCTCGTCGCGAGCGGGGTTGGGAACCCGTTTGAGATCACTGTCATTATATCCAGCCTGCAGTTCCTCGGCACGGTGGTCGGTCCGTTCCTCGTGGACAAGGCCGGCCGCCGACCGGTAGCGCTGGTCGGCTTCACGATCCTCCTGCTCCTGAATCTCGCGGCCGGCAGCTTGGGTGCCGCGGGCCTGACGAGCGAGACGCAAAAGCTGGCATTGGCCGCGGTCTTCATCCTGTTCGGCTTCTTCAATGCCGTTTCTTTCCAGTCGCTGTAAGTCGGGCCAACTGGCAAGAATATAGAATACCCCCCCCGCTGACCATGGACAGATGCTTTGTTCTACCCACCGAGATTGCTTCGCCAGCCCTACGCGAGCCGACGATGGCCTGGTCAGTCTTCTGGTCGTACACCACCGCCGTTGTTACCACCTTTGCCGTGCCGCGGATTATGAGTGCCGACGCGGCCAACCTCGGTGTCAAGACGGCATACGTCTTTGCGGGCTGTGTCTTCGTCACCACCATCTGGGCGTATTTCTACCTGCCCGAGACCATGGGCCGGACTGTGGCGGAGATTGACGAAATGTACCGCATTGGTCTGCCGATGAGGAAGTGGAGAGGATACAGCTGCGAGAGTTCGAATATCACCAACAGCGAAAAGGCCGACCTTGCTGACGTCTAAGATGGTCGGACGGGACACTAATCTCAACTGTGAAAAGACATGACTCCTTCCAGTTGTCTGTCCGGGCTATACATATTTGGCAGAAGCAGCAGTAGCAGCATCCAAAGATGTTTCATGTATGCGCAAGAGAAAATAACCATGGCCAGGACCTATGGTTTTGCAATATATACTCTCTGGTAGTCTCGCCTTGTTATATTTCACTACTTCTTCAGGTCTTTAGGGGCATTTTTATTAAACTAGCTCTAATAACCCAACTTTCTCTTTTGACAGAACCTGTCATGTTTTTATATAATTTGAGTTATTGTTGTAGGGCATTTAAAATCTATCAACCAAGGAGATTTACAAAGTTGGCTCTTGCTTGATTAATCTTGTAGCAATTAGAACGTATGCTAATATGGGCAATTCCTAGTCCTTCGGTAACCCACCTATGAGAAAGACAATAAAGTTTAACAGCAATGGAAGCTGCCAGAGCCCGACAACTCAACACAATGAATACTTTCGGTAACCCACAAGTACGGTCAACTGGAAATGACTGCTCAAGCCTGTGCATCATGCCGTCATGCCGCTCGAGGTGCATCATCGAACTGCTGTTCAAGAGAAGCAAGCAAAACGCCAATATCAGGGTCATAGTAATCGTTCATCTCCATATCGAAGGGATCCCACGATACGACCCCTCCGTCATCCAATTGGCCGTCGTTCCCGACCTGTTTTGAACTGGCGAGGTCCAGCATAATCCTCGCCGCCGGCTCTTCCTGTCCACTCACCGATGTGGGAGCTGCAGACGAGACTTGGACATTGAGCGACGGTGTGGGCTCATCGTCGGACTTGGCGAATCGGGGGAGAAGCGCATGCTTCGATGGAAGGAAGTGCCCAGAGATCTCGCCCGCGCCGATGCTTGACGAACGCGATGACTGCTCACGGGTCCCCTCCTCGAGAGCGCTGATGACTTTGTTCACATCCCTCACGCATTTCATCGGCCCCGGCATGATCTCAAGCGGGCGCGCCAATTGCAAGGCATCAACGAGCCTTTCTTTGACAGCGTGGAGTCTATTTTCCCCTTCAGAAGGGAGAAGATGCCGCAACTGACGATAGATCTGTGCCGCCGAATATATGGAAATGGGCAGGCTGGTGTCACTTGTCGCATCGCCTGGCTCCAGGCGGTACATGTCAGACAAAAGATGACAAAGCCGTAGCGCGTTGTCAGGGCAAGCCTCTTGACAGAAATCGATAAAGTCGGACGGTGTCTTGGCGAGAGTGTCCCTTGGTAACGATTCGCGTAGTCCCGGCACGCAAATCCGGTACAAGTCACAGTGGCTTTGGTACCACTGCATATGCAGACCAACATACTTGACCCATTCCGTCGAGTGAGCCATCATCATGGTTCTCTCGGAGCTCATCTTCAAATCCGCGGGTAGCGTCTTCTCGAAATGGTCAAGCTCGGCTTGCAGTGCCTGCATCTCGTGGTAGGTCGAGGAAGGGACAATTCCGGCGCGCTTCACTCGCTTTGCATACCTTGAGAAGTCATCAGTCAGCTTTGAAATTGATACCCAAGGTCCGTAGACGACTTACCTCAACACGCGGTCTCTAGTGACAAGTAGCCGCAACCAGAAAGCATAAATGTCAACGCCAGTGCCGTCTTCAACTACATCATCCATCAGGAACGCTGCACGAGAAACACCACCTCTTTGGAAAGTATGTTGATCACATGGCAGGCGTATGTGGATTCTTTCAGGCGAACAGACGGCCAAATCTTCGAGCCCCCCTGAAAACTTACGATCCAAATGGAAAATGGACCAGACCAGGCGCCTTCGACACTCCTGAATCACGGCGTTAGAATATTCCTTCTCCTGGTTAAGGCCCAGCGTGAAAATCATGCGTGCTGCGATCGGGAGCAGGTTCCACACTTCAATATTGTCTCCTGCCTGAAATCTCAATTGGGTGAGCAAGACAAGAACTTGAAGAAGTGTCAAGTTGTAGCGGGACCACTTCGAAAGCACGTCTTGTTGAACTTGATCCATAGATTGTCGTACTTCCACGGTGCCGCCGGCGTAGCCATGCCTCCTGTACTGAACTGTTGTGATGATGATCTTCAGCAAAGCTGGATCGAGTGTGCCCCGGGTCCAGTCGGTAATTATCGTGGCTTTATGAAGGATAGCGACTGTGGAGCGGCTCGCTTCCTCAAAGTAATCGTCCAAGTAACCTCTGGTTGTTCGTCTGTCAAGCTCATCAAAGGCGGTGCTTGAAGTCGTCCCTGGATCGCCTAAACTTGCGTCCCTTGAGATCGAGTCTAAATTGCGAGGCACCTCTGGCAGGCCCGTAGATACGGAGCTGGTCGCATCGTCTTGACCCGACCCTTCTATGCCGGTGGTAACGATGCCTTCGCATGCAAGGTGTTTTGCGACACATCTTTCACATGGGCGGCGGCCTGAGCATTTTGCCTTGACTGCTCGGCAACCGAGGCACGCTCGGCGAGCCCGTTTCCTCTTGGTACCGGCTTGCGTGAGCTCTTCGACATGACCAGGCTTGGGGCTTTCTGGATGCGAGAAGGAGCAGTCAAGGTTCAGTCTGATGCAGACGAGGCATCGCAAGGGGGTGCGGTCGCACTTGACTTTGCGTGCCTGGCATTCTCTGCAGGATGAGCCGGTCGGCATATTGTCCAGCTATCCGTCGATCGCGCACAGGCTCTGATAAAGCCCTGGTCGTGCGGTCCGCACCCACTGTTGTAGGATAGGAGAACCCTGGTATTCGGACATGGTCAGCGGATGTTGCTCGGAAGTGAGGAGTATTTCGTGGCTAGCCTCCGACGACTCCGGGTAAAGGCGAAGGTAAAGGCTTTGCCTACCCGGAAGCCATTCGGATCTCGGGGAAGCACTACAGGGTTCCGACTGTACGGTACGTCTCCACATTTTCAATAGCTTCAGCCACAAGTGGCTGAACTAGCTACCCTATGCAAGATGTTAACAAGCACATTATTATCTATCTCGGGCCTCTATTCTACAATACCTAACTTCGTCTTACGTGTTTTACCCTTCCCTTTTTAATATTTCTTTCTTATTATGCGCCTAAGTTTTTACTTTAATATATGACCCCTGGTCCTATAATTCATTCACAGAGATGAATCTCATTGTTCAGCAAGATAGTTGGCAAGAGGCCGCTCGTGTAAATACCAACACAATTGACTGGTTGTGTAGCAATTAAGTTTGTAATGAGGGTAAGTTTCTTTGATAATATAGCTTTCCTCGGTCATCTTTGAGGAAAGTTAATGTATTTCGACTACTTTACACAAATTGATGTGTTTGATCAGGCAGCTTTTCACCAACTTAGTCACATATTCTCCCCTTCCTAAGTTCTCCCAACATTTTACTGGCAGGGAAACTATTACCTTTGTTTGAGAAAGGACAATCGGTTTCTGATTAGTGCAAGACCAATCAATTTATGTGACCCGCTCAACCTGGACTTCAGCCCCAGGCTTCTCAGACTCGTCTTGATCTGCCTCTGTGTCTAGTTTCCCTGCCGGAGTTTCAGCCTCTTCCAACATATTGGATGTATCCTTCTTCTTAAAGTCACGGATAGGCGCCTTGTTGACGAAGAGCCAATCCACCTGCTCGAGGGTCTTCCCCTTGCATTCTGGGACGCAAAAGAAAACGAACACAAAGGCCAGAATGCACAGGGCGGCGAAAATGAAACCGACTCGACTGCCCAGACCAGCACGATCAGGGAAGACCAGGTAGGGGATCGAGAAGCTGACGACAAAGCTAAAAACACGATTAGCACGCTTTGAGAGTAGGAGGAATCAACTTGCACATACTTAGTAAGGACATTGATGAAGAAACCCAGACGAGAAGTCTTATCCCGCAGGCGGAGAGAGGTGATTTCCGTTGCGACCACCATGGTCATGGGGCCCCAGCCCAGTGCGAATGATGGACCGAACAAGCACATGACGCCCACAATGCCCTGCATCCGGTCCCTCGCGACCGGCGTCTGGATGCCGAGGCCACCCAGCGTCAGCAGGACCGCAAGCATGCAGACGCTTGAGAGCATCAGCATGATTCGCCTGCCCACCCTGTCGCTCAGTAGTAGGGTGGCGACCATGGCGACGCCCGTGAAGCAGCTTGTCATAAGTGTGAAAAGAATAGGATTGAAGATCTTCAGAGTACGAACGAAGACGCCGCCGTACTGGGAGGTGAACGCTTGGCCGGTTGACTGCTGGAAGAAGTTGACGCCCGCAACGATGAGGGTCCGCTTGAGGTTGAGTCCCTGGAAAATCTCGACCGATTTGCCCTTCTGCGTCTCGTGCTCCATTGCGAACTCCAGCTCGCGGAACTCCTTGTCGACTTCTGCCTCAGTGAAAGCCCCATGCCGGAGCTTCTGAAGGGCGACACGACCTTCTTCGTTGCGACCGTTTCGGACGAGCCAACGAGGGGATTCTGGGAGGAACCAGATGCCAGCTGCCACGATTGTTGGCACGACATAGAAGAGCCCAAGAGGGATACGCCAGGAGCGATTGTCGTCGAGGTGGCTCGTGCCGTAGCAGACGGAGTTGATGACGATACCACCAAGGATTAGACTCCATTGGTAGGTCCCGACGACGAGGCCACGGACTGGGGCGGGAACTACGCAGAGTCAGTGCGGCACTAGAGATGAGATAATGGAGTAGTGCTTGCACCAGACGTACCGATTTCAGACTGGTAGAGAGGCACGACAGCCATCTCCATGCCAACATAAACGTAGTTGAGGACACGCGCCGCCATGATCTGTTCGCGCGTGTTTGAAGTCACCGCAATGGTTGCAGTTCCCAGAGCGTATATACTCATGCTGAACATGCACCAGCGACGGCCGAAACGATCACAGACCCAGCTGCCAATGAACACGCCTGCGGAAGAAGTAGAAGAAGAACTCGTCAGCTGCGTCCTACTGCAAATTCTGAATGACAACGGATGGGAGTCTTACCGGCAGTGAAGCCGAGATACATAAGACTGTTGAAGAGCGCGAGCCAAGATGACGGCAGAGTGTAGTCGCCTGTACCTGGATCTAAGTCGCCGAACTGCTGCTGGAAGTGATCCATAGCCTGGGTGGTGGCGAAGGCCTGATTGTCGAAGCCATAGTTGAAGGTTGAGATGGCGATGAGCACGACCGAGAGGGTCAGAGACCTGTTGAAGTACTTTGTCTTGCCCATTTTGAGAGCAGCCATGACATATGCTTTTGATTATCAAGAGACGAGTGGCAAAGGAAAGCAGCAGATGGATGCTGTGTTTCGATCAAGTCGGACACCACGTTCAAATATATTTTCTCCGCCTTAGGCTTTCGCCATGCTCCTCGGTTAGTGCCTCTGGTCCGTTACTGGATTCAGGTCGGAATCTAGACCCCAAGGATGCCATCGGTACCGCTTTACGCATGCAGATTTTCTTCCCCCGCGGGGCGGCAATTCCGGGGAGAGAGTCACGCTCGAATCATTGGCTACTCAACCTGTAAGGGGGCAATTTGCTATGACTCGCGTGGGTGTTTATGGGGTTCGTAGCCGCGACATCCGACACAATGACCCGGGTCCTCCACTCCGCACCCGATGTCTCGGGGCATTGCCGGCGAGCAGACTCCCGGATAGCGGCCGATGCGTACGGGTATCATTCTTGGTTGATTCGCATATATGCTGCTGGGAGCGGATTGCTCAAGTATTTCCCCGCACAGACTTGTAGTACCATAATTTTGGTGGCGAGAACCTCCCTTGACTCGGTTTCCTTGCTCAAGTGAACGGTAGATATCATACGGCTCAACCGCAGCTATGTCCAAGTATCAACCCGTCGCAAAGCCCATTCCCATCAAGGTCAATTCCAAGAATGGTGGTTCCCGTCCTAACTACATCATATTTATGCCCGACCAACTTAGGTATGACTCTCTCGGATGCACAGCCCCAGACGGGACGGCCCAGGTCAAAACACCAAATATCGACGCCTTTCGTCGCCGCAGCACGCTGTTCACCAACTGCTTCACTCAGGCATCCACCTGTTCACAGTCCAGGTGCAGCATGTTTACCGGGTGCTATCCTCATGTCAGCGGCCACCGCAGCATGAACAACCTGATAAAGCCCTGGGAAGGGAACCTCTTCCGCAGTATGAAGGAGGACGGCTACCACGTCGCATGTCTTGCTCCTCGTGGTGATACCTTTGCTCCCACGGTAACGGAGCTCAGCCTCAACGAGTATGGTTTTCTCGAGACGCCTGACTATATGCCTGGGTTTGCAGGCAAGTTCGGATCTCCAACGGAGCCCAAGGAGGATATCTGGTCGCGTCTGTTTTACAGGGGACTTCGCGATGTGAATAAGATCCTCGATTATGACGAGGCTGCTGTTCGATCGGCAATTCGGTGGCTAGACTGCCCACCGGATGATAAACCCTGGGTTCTCTTCCTCCCGCTCGTCTTCCCTCACTGCCCTTTCCAGGTAGAGGAACCCTACTTCTCGATGTACGACCGCAAGTCGATGAAAGAGGTTGCGAGCAGACATGAGCGCAAGACAGGCTACGAGCCGAAATATATGAAGGCGAATCGTGATCGGTATAAGACCGAACGTGCAACAGATGAGATCTGGAAGGAGATTAAGGCGACATATTACGGCATGATCACGCGGCTCGATGATCAATTCGGTAGAATTTTAAACAAAGTAGATGACCTTGGTCTGTGGAAGGATACAGTGACCATGTTCTTTACAGATCATGGGGAATATCTTGGTGATCATGGCATGATTGAGAAGTGGCCATCAGGCCTCGGGGAGACGATTGTTCACGAACCACTTATCATCGGCGGTGCAGGCTTGCCAGAGGGCAACACGATCAGTGCAATGGCAGAAATGGTCGATCTTGTGCCTACTGTGTTTGAGCTCTCAGGCATCGCCGAAACATTTATGCATAACGGCAAATCATGGGTCCCGTTGCTCATCGGAGGCGAGACCAAACACAAGGACTATGCATTTTCTGAAGGTGGTTTCTTGCTCTCAGAAGAACCTCTGCTTGAACAAGCCCCGTATCCATACGACATTAAGACGGCACTCCAGCACGAGGATACGACGCTCGTGGGCAAGGCAATCTCTCTTCGCGATAAGGATTATTACTATGTCTACCGACTGTATGAGCCTGCGGAGCTCTATGATCGTCATGAGGATTTGCCCGAAATGCATAACCTCGCAGAGCTACCAGAGTATGCAGACATTGTCAGCAAGTATGAGAAGGTTGTGCTGCACTGGCTCGTTGGCGGCAGTGACTTCATGCCGTTTCAAGGAGATCCTCGCTTCCCACCCATTGAGCTTAAGTCGCCCAAGGAGCAGATGGAGGAGCGTTTAGCCAAAGTAGGGAATAAAATGAAGGAACCAAGGAAAGAGATTGCGGTGGGAGCAGCTTGAGTGACCCCAGACTCCTCTCCGTAGACTCAGTGTTGATTTAACTTAGATATATGGGAACCAATCTCACATCAAGCAACATCAAGCAGCGGTGAAGAATAAACTTGCCGCCGAAAGACGTGTTCTCCCGCAGGCAAACCCTAAAACATACCTGCTACTGTCTCTTCCATATGACGGTCGAAGATTGCGAGACTCGGTTAATAGAACGTCCAGGATAAGCAGTGGCATATAGTGGTGCCTATGTCTTACACTCCTCGAAGCTCAGAGCTTCTTTATCTCTTCCTAATCTACTAGGAATGCTGAAGACATCGTTGCAGATCGACGCATTGGGGTTGAGGAAATCAAAGTCCTTGCCACAGCCCCTTCTGCCGCCATGAAGCCATGGCTCAGCCTCGGATTCTGGCCTACCCAGAATTCCTGCCATTTATGCACCCTCGTTAGATACCTGTAATCTTCTATTTTATATCTGTGCGCTTTTATTTTCAATAGGCTATATCTAGACTGTCTTGTCAAAATAATATATAAAAGTGCTACCTGGATTGTCCTGCCTAGCTTCACTTAGGCGGGCCCGATGTTTTACGTGCAATCGCAAAGAGTAGCATGATAGGTTAATCAGACATGGTCAGTTGTTTGAGACGGAGGCTAATTTAATGAGAGGCATGATAGTAAGAGAAAAAAAGCATCCTCTAAGGATTGTTGTACATATGGGGGGAAGATATGCTTGATTTAATTTGCATTAATTTGATTTTGCTTGTTCAGCCTGCATGTAAATGAGGGTAAGAATCACGGCAGGATTGCTGGCTATTGTTTCGCTTGAGGCACACAAATTCGCTCCTCAGTTAATTCCTTGACGAGCATAGAACGCAGCCCCTCCAATGAAAAAGAATAAAACCGCAAATCTCTGCTGCAGTGTCCATGTAGCCATTGGCCATTGGCTGGATGCACTCAGGGGAGGGGTCAAGATCCAATCACACATGATTATGTCAACCTCTGCTGTTGGGCACCAAAGTAGAATAGATTGCCACCCTACCCATCACCGCTTGTTGACCGTCCACCAGAAAGGACTCAGACAATGCAGCATAGTCTGAAGAAATGAGATATCACATCGCTGCCACAGGGATCTCCGTGGTCTACGAGCCCGAGCATGGGCCGCCCGTCGCTGAGTGAGTGCAACCCCCCACCATCCTGAGACTGGAGGATTAATGCGAGCCTATTTTCGCCCTAGCATCGTGCTCGTGCATGGCCTGCATGGACATCCGTATAGATCATGGACCGGCGCCGAACCACGCGTGCCCGACTCGGAGTCCTCGTCGCTGCTCCTGCCCGAGGCCTCGCTCGACAGCAACGATCGCGGGCGAGAGGCCCTGCAGCGCATGTTTTCTGGGCTGAGCACGAGTTGCTCGAAGCGGTCCTCCTCGGCGCCCCTGAGGTCTGGGGGATACCCGTCTCTCGAGAGAGTGCCCGAAACGATTGACGGCAGTCCTGCCTCTGTGTTCTGGCCCGCCGACCTGCTGCCTCGGGAATGTCGGGACTCCCGAGTTCTCATGTTCGGCTACGGCTCGGAGATCACGAAATACACGGCCGGCCAGCGTGATAGAAATACACTCCTTTCGCACAGCAGGGCCCTTTTGTGCTCCCTCGCCAGAGAGCGATGTATCGACCGCCCCTTGATTTTTGTTGCGCACAGTCTTGGTGGGATTGTCGTGAAAGAGGTAGGTCGGAACTTGGCCCTGCGGGGACACCTTCGCTAATCGTATGACTTTGAGTAGATGCTGGCGAGGTCATCAGAATCTCTCGAAAAGGATCTCAACAACGTCGTTGAGTCCACAGCTTCAGTCATCTTCTTGGGCACGCCACATCGCGGAAGCCCAGAGCTTGCATCCCTCGGCGAATTTACCCTTGATGCCCTTGGCCTGAAGACTGGTTATCTTGAGCGCGCCAGGGAAACCTTTTCGAAGTTATGGTATAAGCACGACTTCCGGGTCAAGACTTTCCAAGAAGGCCTGGATTTGGCGGGCATCAGAATCGGTACTCCTGGGAACAAGGTGGTGCCAGACGTCTCTTCGCTGATTGGAGACCCTCGTGAGCGTGCCGAGACGCTGCAGGCGAACCACGAGGAGATGTGCCGGTTCACTGGGAGTAATGATCCTAGCTACCGCAAAGTCGTTGGAGAGATTCGTTCGGTATATGCCTCACTGAAGCATCTCAACACGCAAAATGTCCACCGTAGAGGTCGTATACAACGCAACGGTAGTCGCCCTCTGGGTTACGGCACTGGCTTAAAACTAGAGCCATGCAGAGGAGACCGAGCCGATAAAAACACCGACGATGAGAGGTCGTGCCTTCAGAGCTTGTGCTATCCGAACATGTACACCCACAGACAGAACATTGAATATCCCAGCGAAGGGTCCTGCTCCTGGCTTTTCAAACACAAAACTTATCAAGACTGGTTCCACAATGAGAATCGACATGGACACGAGGGATTACTCTGGCTGAAAGGGAATCCCGGGACCGGCAAGTCGGTGCTGATAAAGGAGGCATTCCGCCGATCGATCGTCGCCCAGACTCATCTCAACCACTCCACTGCCGCATTCTTCTTCAACGCGAAAGGCGGTGAAATGGAGCATTCCCCTCAGGGCCTCTTCAGATCCCTGCTGCACCAACTTGCGCAAGGCAACAGGGACTTGCTCCTCGATTTTGCCAAGCTGTGGAGGAACAAGGTTCGTCACATGGAGGATGCTGCGGCAAGCACGGTTAGGTGGACCGAACACGAACTGCGATTCTTCTTCCAGAACAATACAGCGAGGCGTCAGTCTCAGCGTCGAGTCATCATCTTCATTGACGCCTTGGACGAGTGCGACCAGGAAAAGGTTCGCCTCCAAGCCTACTTTTGGCGCCAACTGACGCATTCGAACCCACATCTGAGCGTCTGTCTTTCCAGCAGACACTTTCCCTCTTTTGCCGTCATCAATTGTCCAGAGATAACAGTCGAAAGCCACAACGCACTCGATATTTCCGCCTATATAGAGCATAGGTTTAAGCTCGGCGGCCTTGCAAGACCAAGAAACCGGAAGCTGTTGAGAAAGGCAATCATGGACAAGTCCAACGGGGTGTTTCTCTGGGTCATCCTCGTGGTTGACGAGATACTCACCAGCTGGGACGATGGAAAAAACATTCACTACCTGTTGGAGCAGGTTAATGCCGTCCCTCGTGCCCTCCAGGCCTTTTACTCTCGAATGTTCGGCTCACTGAGCCCAGCCGAGACGCAGGTGACCCTACGACTATTCCAGTGGGCCACTCTCGCAACCAAACCTCTTTGTCTCGACGAATGGCGCCACATATTAGCAATTACCAGAATACCGTCGCCGCAGTCCCTGCCAGAGTGGCGCAGATCGGATTATTTCACATGTGACGTCGAACAATTGGAGAGTCGAATTAAAAGTATATCGAAAGGTTTACTCGAAGTGACTAAAGCTGGAAGCAACGCTTTTGATACTGTTTCCATGCACGCCAGGGCTGGCTCTTTGGACCTAGAGCAGGAAGAGACCCGAACCGTCCAGGTGAAACACGAATCGGTCCGCCAGTTCTTTTTGTATGGAGACGGTTTCATGAATTTGGATCCGAGTGTTGGGCCTAGTTCCGTCGGCAATGGCCATTTATCCATCATGTCCAGCTGCCTCGATTACTTAGAGATGAGTGAGCTGGATGCCCTCGTGGATGGACACAAGCCGTCCGGTCAAAACGAAGCTCGGAAAAGAGAAGACATGCTGCTTGCTACCGATTCGGACACTGGAGACAGTTCTTCTTCTTGGCCTTCTACGCAGCCGGATACCCCTTACTCGCTCCTGGCTCTAGACATGAGCCAATCTTTGAAGCTCCAGAGCAGGGAACATTTGTCGGCCCAACCGGAGGCTCATCCAACCGAAGACCCGCTACGGGGCTTCCAGGTTGAGGACGCGGAGCACAGGCCCATCTACCTATCTGCAAATGAGCAACCTGTTGAAACTTTCAGCATCAGCGCCGACAAGTGGATTGCGATAACACAATGCTCCTCTGAACAAGCGTCGATCGACGGGTCAACAGAGTTGTCCGATGCACAGTCCTCAGTCCCTTTAGCCTCTGGAAGGGTCAAAGACTGTCCGGCACTCGTCTCATATGCGACGCAGGAATTCTTCAACCACGCCCGGTTGGCAGAGTCGGACCTCGCAGACCCAAGCGCTCTAATCAAGCGCCTGGTAAGTGACGGAGCGTGGAGCCGCTGGGCAGCCCTCCGGGACGATATTCCCACAGAAACTTCTCTGTCAATGTTTGTCCGTGATATCAGGCTTCATTCATGGATTCAAGAGGCCCGCGAGCTGGAGAGCCACGAACTTGAGAAGAGGCTGGGAAGACATAGAGCCGCCGAGCCGTGGCAGGAAGCCAAGGCCGCCTTCGTCAAGATCCTCAAAGTGGTATATGATAAGCAATGGTTCAGCCTGCACAGTCAATGACGACAATGAAGATGCCACACCCGACACGATCCTCGGACTGAGTCGAAATCTGAGGCGGAAGCAATGTGACCAGTTTTGATGTTGGATGAGCAGGTAACTATACATGGTCGATGGTTGCCCATTCTGAAGGCAGAAGCGACACTATATCAAATCTCGCGACACTGAGAACATGCACAAAGAGGCATTGGATAATGGATTTAAGGGCTCAATCAGCGCCAATTCGACATCTAGAGTATTTTCCGAAAACAGCCCCAATGAGGACCAGAGGATCAAAGCAGCTGGAAATTCACCTCTCTTCCGAACTGCACCTCTAGGGATGAGAGAGTTCGAGCACGAAGTAAAAGACAGCAATGAGGATGCTAGACCCAACGTCTCAACACAATGAATAGAACTCTACCTCTAGTTGTGCTAAAGCAGCCAACAATTGAAAAGAACAGAGCACTAGACTATGAGAATGGTCTAACGATGCAAGATACCCTGCGCAAGAAATCCTAGCTAATCGAATTCCTTTTGTTCTTGCTTTAGCAACATTTTCAGCTGTGGTAGTGAGTACTCTTGGAGATTCTCTCACCTTCCTCACGACAACACACTAATGGAAATACCATAGGCATCAACAATGCTGTTCTTAAAATACAGAAACTAGTCGACCGACTTCGTGAAGCGTTTAGGGATGATACGGAGATCACTCCAAACGTTCAAGAGATTACACCTAGAGGAGATATCGTGAAGGGGTAGAGTTAGGATAGATTCATCTTGGAAATCAGATTTTAAGGGAATAGAGATAGATTCGAATTTGTGGTGAAGACACGGTGTTTAGAAACTTGTAGAAATGGAGGAGTCAACTTTGATTTTAATGCTGGAGTGAATGCCGACAGTGAATGCCGACGAAGATGAAAGTGAATATGAACGTGAACGTGCACGCTCTGTTTTTATTGCCGGGATACTGGTTGGGTGTGGCTGGAGCAGCCTCGTGCTGACTATAATCAATACCCTGTTCAAATGAGGGGCTCACTTGTAGGTGTTGAAAAGATGTGAGTCATACCGCATCCGCCTAACAAACTTCACATCATCTCCGTCTTTGAAAGTCGGGCGAATTGCCATCCATCAACGCTCCTACGTGCTCCGAGTCCTCTCTACCACACCGCTACATTTGTTCGCAGCCCTACCAGCTATGGGTCCCATTCCCTACGAGAAGCTCCAGGAATGTGAGTCTTTGGCGACTATCAAAGCTTCGGGTTGCTAATCTTCGCCTCATCAGGGAAGCAACAAGTCAATTCACTAGACGACCCTTTCATAACCGGAATCCCCAAAGTCGAGCTCCATGTTCATATCGAAGGGACTCTAACGCCCGAGCTCCGCTTCAAGCTCGGGCAACAAAACAACGTCCCTCTTCACTCGAAGCGGCTGAACAAAACCTTTACCACTTTGGATGAACTAAAAGGAATGTACAACCTCCTTCAGCCCCGGAGCATCAAAGGAGTAAATCAAATTTCTGCATTTTTCGATGCATATTATGGTGGTATGGAAGTGTTGAGAACACAGCAGGATTTCTATGAGCTGGCCATGGATTATTTTGAGAAAGCTGCCAAGATGAATGTGAGGTATTGTGAGCCATTCTTCGATCCTCAGGCCCACACCCGTCGGGGCGTCGAATTTAAAACATTCATGGAAGGGTTCAAGAGGGCGCAGATCGACGCCGAGAGGGAACTCAATGTTTGACATCCCGGAACTCCAGAACTTCAGTCGCCATCCAGCTGACGAGCAAAGGTTAAATCGCAATGGACCATGTGCATGCTACGCGACGTGCCGCCCGAGTCAGCAATGGAGCACTACGAAGCCGCACTGCCATACAGGGAAATTATCGTAGGCATTGGACTCGACTCGAACGAGTATGATCGTCCGCCATCGCTCTTCGAGCCGCTCTACCTTCGCGCGCGGGCAGATGGCTTCAAACTCACTTGCCACTGCGATGTCACGCAGAAAGACACGCATGAGCACATCCGGCAGGTGGCCGAGTGTGTGGGAGGCACAGGGGCAGACCGGCTCGACCACGGACTCGATGCTGCCGAGAGACCTGAATTGATTACGCTGATCAAGGAAAAGGGAATTGGGCTGACGCTTTGCCCCTGGGCTTATGTGAGGCACCACAAAGAAGAGGACCTCTTCGCGCATGTCAGGACAATTTTTGATGCTGGAATCAAGGTCAATGTCAGTTGTGACAGTCCGGCATATGTTGAAAGCAATTGGATCACTCAGAACTTGGCATTATTGAAGATGAAGGCCCGGTTCACGAATGAGGAGATTGCGAGAGTGGAGATGGACTCTGTTGAGATGTGTTGGGCCAAAGAAGATGTGAAAAGAGTCCTTCGAGAAGAGATTGAGACATTTTGCGCGACTTGTGCCTCGAGTTAGTAGAAGCTCGACATTCTTATTCTGCCTGGTGGCTAATTTTGTATACATGCTTCATAAATGAAACGTGTGGGCTCAGACAGTCTCGTGTAGTGACTAACAATATGTCTCAAAACCATTTCAAACTCTGAAGAATCAGGCTTCGTCTATATCGAGATAGGTCTGTGCGGCGAGGAGAGCTTAACTCATACGATACGAATGACGCATTGCGTGTGGCCTAGCCTATTCGCTCCCGAAAGCAGCAAGCTGAAGAGTTATTGACCAAGCTAATACATTCCAATGGAGTGCTTAATATGACTTCTAGGAGAATGAAATCTCAATAAAAGTGTTGCCAAGATGACCATCAAGAGAAAGAGAGACCTACATAATGGAGTAAACATGTAGAACTCACCAACATTGCACGGAAGCTATGACTGTACGCGTTCTCTACTAACGTGTCGTTCTTCAAGATCGGCGATGCCAACATGGTCAAGGGTAGCGACCTCAACAATTTGCCAGAGCTCACGAGGGACTCAGCTCAATGCCACGGTTGGAGTGGCCATAAAGAGGGGCTAATGAGAAATGTTCGCTCATTGCTACATCATACTTCGCATTTCAACAGAAAAGGAGGTATTAGTATACCTCAACAGATTCTCTTGGTCGCGCTTTGGATTTGGGCCTTGTCTTGGTAATATTATCTGGTTCTATTCTATTGCAATCCCTGTTTTTACAAAGGAACTGTTCATGCTTATTACTGCGAGACTGAATTACCAAGTCTGGGTATGAGAACGAACATCTATGCCAACACACAACCTTGGTAGGGAGTGAGATTGCGTAATCATCTTACATGAGATATGCTGGCTGGACTTGGCGCGTCGGAATTATTCAGTGGCTGAGCCTGGACATGTCCGCGGAGCTCCATGGCTTCTATTTCCGAAGTGTAGTTGTCGCTTCAATCCCGCGGCCGACTGATAAAGTTGTGAGGCTGTGAAACTGTTGTGAGAAGCGCCCAGCACGGGCGCCTTCGTGGAGATGGCCAAAGAAACCATGGAGCATGCTCCAGTGCCGATCAAAGCCAAGGTCGAGCGGTATATAAAGAGTCAATCATTGGCAGTTTGAGATTGAAAGTCATCGAACAACTCACTGACAGAGAAAATTGATTACAAGCATCCCCAAGATGATATTCAAAACCCTCAAACTTGCCGTTGTGGCTGCATTGGTCACTGGCTCTACCGCTAGTGTCGGAGAAGCTGATGTTTACGACTACGTTATCGTGGGCTCTGGACCAGGAGGTGGCTCTCTTGCGTGAGTGTTGAATCTTGTTATGGTTGAATGTTTCCGTGATGATATAATAGCTAACTTAAGTCAAGCGCCAATCTTGCAAGAGAGGGACACTCGGTCTTCTTGATCGAAGCTGGAGGTGATAACCATACCAGTATTCTTCAACAACTGCCCCCACTGTGAGTTGGGCATATTGCCTGGACTAGTATCTTCGAAACTAATGGGCTCTCAGGGCGAGAACTGCTGCCGAGACACCAGGGCATTCTTGGCAGTTCTTTGTCAACCACTACGAAGACTTTGAAGCAGCCCGCCGCGATCCCAAGTACACCTATATTCAGACAAATGGATCCTACTATGTTGGACTTGACCCGCCCGAGGGAGCTAGGCCGTAAGTACCCGGCTGTACTATAACCGTTTGTGTTGCGAATAATAACAGAGATGCATCATCTAGTGCGGGCTTGTATTATCCTCGTGGCTCTACCTTGGGTGGTAGTGCGCAGGTTAACGCAATGAACTTCCTCTGGTCCCCCGACAACGAGTGGGATTACATCGCAAACCTCACGGGCGATGACTCTTGGGGTCATGAGCACATGCGCCGACACCTGCAAAATGTTGAGAACTGCACCTATGTGCCGCATGGTACTCCTGGCCATGGTTTCGAGGGCTACGTCATCGTAAGAGAGTTCCTTCTTGTTTCACGATGACCAAGATACTAATGAGGCATTGTTGAGTCTAGAACGATCAGAGCGACGCTGCCCTCAGGCTTAGTTCTCCTAACATTGCGAGTATGTTCAGCCAGATGTTCCGTGAGATCGAAGGCGTCGATGTCCAGGACCCTTCTGAGATGTCTCAGCTCCTTCTCCGCGACCTGAACGGGCCCGACCCGCGCCGCTATGAGAATGGCCTCATGTACAGCACGCCCGTCGCAATTGACCCTGCCACTGCTGCCAGGAGTGGTGCTGGTATTTACATCAACCGGGTCATCGATGCTGGACACCCCTTGACTGTGAGCTTCCACTCTCTGGCAACACGAGTCCTCACCAAGAAGCTGGGCAACAAGAAACCTATCGCATACGGGGTCGAGTACATGGTCGGCGAAGGTCTGTACTCTGCCGACGGACGCTACAACGCTGAGCAGACCGGCAAGATTATGAAGGTCCACGCGAGGCGCGAGGTTATTGTTTCTGGTGGTGCATTCAACACGCCGCAGATTCTCATGCTGAGCGGTATCGGCCCGCGCGAGGAGCTGGAGCGTTGGAACATCCCCGTCGTTGTCGATTTACCTGCTGTCGTGAGTGGCCTTCCCCCAGCATTGACGTATTTCTTTCTCAATATGCTCATCATTTCTCTCCTTTCAGGGCTCCAACTTACACGACAACTACGAAGTTCCTGTGCAATTCCGCTCCGAACAGGCGTGGTACACGCCCACTGATTCTGAGTGCTCAGGCACATTTGATGATCAAGATCCTTGTTTCGTAGAGTGGCGAGACAACGCTGCTGGACCGTACGCATCGCGCGACAGCAGCTACGGCGCGGTCTGGAAAAGCAATCAGAGCTGGGACAACGACTCGGACATCATGTTCCTGAGCAGCCCAGGCTTGGCAGGATTGGCAGGATTCTACCCAGGCTACTCCAGAGGAGAGCTGGCGCGCAACGATCCTTTTGAGTGGCTGCACGCCGTCGTCAAGATGCAGACGAGCAACGCCGCCGGCACCGTGAGACTCAACTCATCAGACCCTCGCATTCGACCCAACATCAACTTCAACTACTTTGCTGAATCAACCGAGCGCGATCTGGACGCCATCGTTGAAGGAATCGAGCTCCTCAGGCGCGCGTTTGACGGCACCGGCATCCGCAACACGTTGATCAACCCGGACCCGGAGAACTTGAGGCAGGGCATTCAGGACTTGGCCTTCAGCCACCACGCCTCGTCCACCTGCTCTATGGGATCCGACGCCGCCACGTCTTGCGTTGACTCGAGGTTCCGCGTGCGCGGCGTCGACAAACTGCGAGTTGTAGACGCGTCCGTCTTCCCTCGCAGCCCTGGAGGCATGCCCAACGCTCCGACATGGACTATTTCCCGCAAAGCCTTCGAGACTCTTCTGGAAGACAACCATCGAGACTGAAGCAATCTTTCTCTTTGAGCTTTTGTTTAGTTGGGTCATTCGAGACAGTGACGTATATTGCGATGAAATATAAGCACCAAGGCAGTTCGAGATGAAATTAGAATTTCACATACACGAGTATTGTATAGACGAGTAGGATTATAGATTGGTTAGACTAAGCAGTTGAAGCGTGAGAAAATCCAATCATATAATTTCATTATTGATAAAGTCGACGTGAATAATCTTACGATAGATTTTAAGCAATGGATTGGTAGCTTCAGAATGTACTAGATCTGAAGGTATCCATCTCACGGGCTGGGGCCCGTGGCTCCTTTCAAAGTATTCACGTGAGAAACCCAAACGGCAACGTGACCGAGTGGGTGTTCACAACCATCTTGCTAAACCACGCTGATTATTTATTCTCCACTGGATCATCTTACTGCTCGACGCTTGGGCAGGCCGCCGTACTCGCTATTTTCTGAAATTCTACTTGCATGATGAAGAGTCTGTTATGTACCCTAAAAGATTAACAGATGATTTACCTTGAAATGACGCTGATACAAAATCTGGCTAATAGAGAGCGACAGAATTAGCCACTTACACGTATCAGGGAATTTCTTCATATTAATCGTCATATAAGAGATCAATGCACCCACTTTGGTTATGTACTATATGAACGTTCCCGTTAAGAAGGCGATCTTAGTGCGTGTAGTCCTAAACTCAAGGCTATTGAAAAAAAAAAACTTTTCTAAAATGAGCTGATGTAATAGTACTACATGAATATCCTAACATCACCCTGTAACGCTGGACTATATGCATTTCTGACAGTTACACCTTAGATTCTAGGTAAACAACTTTCACTTCATGCAGCAAAGTCCTAGCCTATTACTGGCCTCTTCGACCAAGTCCCACGTCAGGATAGGCGTCATAGTCAATCTTTGCGGGGGCTACAAGCCATTCCTTGTCATTGACTCTGTTGATACCTGCAAAGAACGCGTCGGCAAACTTGTTGTATCCCTGAATGTTGGGATGCTTCTCGTCGGAAAGATCCGCGTCGGTGATGTCAACGGCAGTGATGTGGATATGCTTTCCCTTATCTTGTCTCTGCTTGACAATAGTTTGGAGTTTGGCGTTGAAGGCCTCGCGGTTCTTGTTCAGATGTGCCTTCTTGGAGTAAATGACAGGAACAACCAGGATGACAACGTCATTGTATTCGTTGAACATGCCATCAAGCATATTCGCATAGAGAGTTGGCGCCGTGTCTAGGTCCTCATTCAGGTCCATGTTGTTTGTGCCTGCATGGATGAGGATTAGGTTTGGCTTGGCCACGATCGGTTTTTGCCACTTCGTGGCGATGGTCTTGATGGTCTTGCCGCTGTGTCCTTCGTGGTCATTGTCGGCCATGGTGCCGGTTTTCAGTGTTCCGATCATGTCGACCTGGGCTCCTGCTTGGACGAGCAGGCCTCGGAGCCGCGATCTGTAGCCATTTGGATTCCCGCCGGAGCCGTTACCCTTAGTGATGGAATCTCCGAGAGTCAGAATGCGTAGATTCGGGAGCGATTTGGCTGTGACTAGGGTCCATAGGAGGGCGAACACCCAGATGAGACAGAGACGAGCCATGGTGATGAAGATAGGGGTCGGCACTAAAGAATCAAGGAAAGCTCTTCGGATGACCTACTGACTGAGGATTGAATTGGCATCCGCTGCTAATTAATATATCGGAGGTTTAGCTGATCAGCAATGGCCTCCTTGAAGAGCATTAGGCTGGTACTGTCCATGTGCCTCCAAAAGTGGCAAGTAGTATTATGTGTACCAGATTTAATTGGATAACTATATAAGCTTGACAAGGCATGAATTGATCTTCTGTCCCCTATGCTAAAAATAACTAAACATTTCGGCGCCCGACTGATGAGGGCAGCGCCGATATTATGCAATCCGTGGTAGTAGCTATATTTAGCCGACGCGAAGGGTCCGGCGCCACGCACTTCCGTGTATTAATTACAAGTAGGTAGGTACGGGTATGTATCCTCTACCCAGGAAGTAGTTCACGAAAAGAAGCAACTGCTGTTAGTTGGAAATTTGCTTAATCATCTTGACTTTATTACCATTCTTGCACGTCGATCAAAACCACATGCACTAGCCCCCACCTAATTTATCTGACGTCTAGTATTATCTTAAAAACTATAGCTAAGTTGTAGATTAACTACTATTTATTAGTATACAATTTTCATAAATATTAATACTTATATTTAGTCTTTATAATATTAAGAGTTATAGCTATTTATTATTATATATAGAGCTTTAAATATAAACTATAATTTATGAACTTAAACTATATATAATTCATTGTATACCTTGATCTTAGGATATCCATTGCTTATAGCGAATTACTCTACTGCATTCGGGAGAACCTCGGTAGGTATAACGGGTACTAATATCTCATGACACGTAGCCTATAATAGATATTGGCTACCTTAGCTTATGGTTGGGACAACAATCAAGCAATAAACATTCATTTAAAATAAGCACCCTCCACCTTAGAGAATACATAGGAATGACATCTGTTCTCGAGCCTTTTATCTACACTCCCCTCAGCCCAGGCCAAATTAGAATCCTGGAGCACAATGTAGAAGATGGCAGCAGCGAGCCAACCTGGATTCTCAGGGTCATTGCGATTGGAGAAGCCGGCCAAGAGGGGCAAGATATCGACTTTGATGCTCTTTCATATGTCTGGGGCGACCACAGTGAGACGTTTCCGCTGATTTTGAACGGACGGGAGATTCGGATCCATAAGAACCTGCATGTAGCCTTGCCCTATCTGAGCAGGCGTCCATCACGTCGTCCTATTTGGGTCGACGCTGTGTGCATCAACCAGAAAGACAATGCGGAGAAGATGGTTCAGATCCGCAGGATGAGTGCGATTTACCACCGTGCCATCCAGGTCTGGGTCTGGTTAGGACCGGGCCTTGACCATACAGCTGATGCTATCAGGCTTTTACCTCTCATGGCGCAAACCGGTGAGAGGAGCTCGCCAACGGGAATGCCGCCTGGGCTCCCGCCGGTACTTTCGCCGATATGGACCAGCATCCTCAACATTATCGGCAATAGCTGGTTTGGGCGCGTATGGATCGTGCAGGAGTCCGCGTTGGCCCAGGATCTCCGATTCCTCATTGGGACGCACGAGGTTGATGCTGAAATGCTCAACGCTGTCGCAAGGGCGTCTAACTGGTTGGCCGAACACTTCTTCGACGCCTCGATGCGGGACGAAGCCAAGAGGCTCCTAGATAACCAGCGAGTAATGGCCGTATTTGGAATACGCGACTTAGTACAAAAGTCCTTCTCCTTGGAAAGCTCCAAGCTCGACCAGCCAAGACCGCCTCGCCAACTCGTATGGATCATTTACCAAATGACCATGAACATGCAGTGCTTCGACCCTCGTGACCGGGTGTACGGAACTTTAGGCCTTCTACCAGACGACCAGCGTGGGACCCTCGGATATTTGAGCGATACAGCCAGCTTGGCGGACTTGTACGCAAGTTTTGGCCAACGAGTTTTGACCCAGCCGAACCCACTCGCACCCATGTGGTTTGCACTCTTGCACAGGGCCACTATTCCAGGCAAGATAAGTAACATTCCCAGCTGGTGCCCAGACTTCCATCAATCTTCAGACTCTCTCGCGTGGTACGAGGATGGTATCACGTTAGGTTTGGACCCGAGAAGGAACTTTAATGCGAGCCGGAAGAATGTCGTTGCGTTGCCGGGAGACAGCACACATGAGCTTGTTTCCCGAGGGTGCCTCGTGGATGACGTTTCCCAGATCTACGAACGGATTCCGATCGCCTTAGACTTTCTCAGGCGCGAAATCAGTAAGACGGAGGTCCTTGAAGCTTATTTACACCTGAGGAAATTTGAACGGAGTATCGCGAGGAACTCGCTTTCTCCAAGGGCCTTTGAATTGACAGAGTCTCTAGAGCCCTTTGCGGGGATCGAAGAGGCTAACAAAGTTGAAATAAACCGCCTCTGGAAAACACTATTTAGCGGCTTTAGTAAATTTCAAGGTGGCGAGGTTACACTGGAATATTACTATGCTTTACGACGCGGACTTGACGAGATTGCGGCATCCATGGAGAGGTCGGGCGAGCAGCACAATGAGGTTTTCAGCTCGGTGACTACTAATGACCTGTTTCAGAAGGGGTTCTACTGTGCCATGTATAGTATTCTTCATCGGAAAGTATTCATGACAACTGGCGGACGGCTTGGCCTGGGCGGGGGTTTAATAGATGCTGGAGACAAGATCATCCTCTTAAACGGAGGGCAAATGCCTCATGTGGTAAGAACTAGCCTGGGAGAGAAATATTCACTAGTATGTGAGGCGTATTTATCCGGCTCAATGCACGGGGAGCTTGAAGACCTCAACCTTCCTGAGGTAGATATTATCTTAGTATAAATAGTGCGACATTGATCGTATTCGACGCCAATCAGAGAGACTTTCCACAATGTTATAATACAAACGGTACGATCTCAACTAAATATGACCGAGCGACTCACCATCTCGCCTTACCAAGCTAAGTGATGGCAATGCTCATTTAACATGAAGGGTCAACTACATGATTTTACTCATTCTCACTTGATGTTCGTTTCCATCAGCGAATCGTTTCCATAAGCGAAAACCCAATTTACTAAAATGGGTTTTCTTGTATCCTCTACCTGGACATCCTAGTCTACAGGTTCTTCACTGTCAAGAATCCCTGATGACACGTTCTCACTAGCTCAACCTTCTTCTGGGCGCCACCATGAAAGACTCAGAGACTGTAACTTCGCCACTACAGCACGACGGGCCCAGACGACAGGAGAAACCATTAGTTACATTTCCCTTTTAGCGCGGTCTATTTAATTTGATTCTGTCGCTGAGAAATGTAGGCTGGGCTCGAAGAGACGTCGTTTGATTGGATGCAGTAGAGGCCTAGGGTAGGTAGGGATAGACTGATCGGCCATCCAAACTGGCACTAATGTTAAGTGCGGTGGGGAATATGGTCGAAAGTAGAGTTGATTACGTACTTAGCTTGTTTACCACGAGATTTCCGGGGAAAGTAGCTGCTAATAAATGCTCTCTCTCTTCTACACCGAGGAGTACGGGGAGGAGAACAACCAAGAGAAGAACGCCTAAGATATGCCGCGACTTGCTTGTAGTTCCTGCCGGTAAGCTTCAAGTATCGGCGTACTGCATGGGCTAACGAGCGCTTACCACGAACGCACAGGGCAAGCAAGGTTCGGTGTAGGGTCAAGGAAAATGACACCAGCTGTGCCAGATGCCTGAGCAGGAACAGCCCTTGCTCTTATATGCAACATGTACGAAGTGTGCGGCCACTGCCACAGAACTCTCAGGCCGAGGCTCGCCCGGCCGCCAATTCCCAAGTACAGACAGATTCGTCGAAGGTCCCTGCTGCCTATCAGCTGTTACAGGAGAACCATTATCTTGACTTCGGAAGAGGCCACCCGGAAGATATTCTACGAGAAAACGAGTTTGCCTTCTCCTTGGTTCTGCTTTATTTCAGCAACTTTAATGACATCCACTTCATGTTCGATGAAGAAACATTCCTCAGAGATTTCCGAATGGGGGATGTTCCGCCAATCATTTTATACTCCATAATGGCACTTAGTATCCGGTATTCGTGCTCTTCTCCGCCCCAAAGAACACTCACTGCCTGATCTCAAGACGAATCGGTGAAAGCGCATGGCTAATGGTTCTTCTAGCTTTTCCCTTGCTCCTTTTGGGGAAGACTTGCCCCCTCGTCATCGCGGAGAACCTCTGTGGCGGCATGCGAGAAATCTCCTCAAAGATTCCTTTGACTGGCCATCGACAACTGCTATCCAAGTCTACGTCTTACTCAGCACGTACAAACTGTCGTTTGGTGGCTCAAGACAAGCATACCTATACTTGGGTACGTGTTTCGCGCTGACTTCTAGACTGAGTGAGGGTAGTGAGTTTTTTTTCGCTAATCATTTAAAGGGTATGCATCAAACATGCTGAGGGCATTGCAATTTATGGATTCGAATTTCAGCGAAGTTTCCGTGCAGATGGAGTCGAAGAAACGGCTGGCCTACACGGTCGCTTTGATGGATCGGCTCATGTTTCCCCTGAAGCTGCCCTCGCAATTCGAGATTCGGAATGACCTACCCGAAATGCGAAGTGAAGAAAGTTTTTGGATTCTCAAAAAAGGTGGTGATATGAGCGAAACGCTTACAAACAGGCCAAGCTCTATCAGCGTTGAACAGGAAATCTTCAAGCTCTCTAGCATGCTTGTTGCCGTTTGCGACATATATCTAGGGAAAAATTTGATTTCCACCCTTGATGAAGCTCAAGAAAATTTTGAGCAATACTCCGATTCGAGGCACCCGCGGTTGTTATATACTACCGATAATCTAGAGCTTCAAGAAAGCCACGACAACCTCCGCAAGTTCGCTTATATGCATCTCCTATACCACCACATTGGGCAGATTCTCTGCTTTCGTGCATTGAAATCCGCGAAATACGACGCGTTCCCATCCTCTGGAGATGACCAAAGATATTCGTTGCAAAGCTTAACGGAGCAGTGTTATGGACACGCCTCAGTGATTGTCCGCATTATAACACATTGTTCTGAACGCGGGTTTGACATACATAACTTTTCTTTTGGTCAGATATTGACAGTCTCGACTGTCATCCTAAGCCATGCATTGTTTTGGGCTGAATCTACAGAAGCTGCAGATCAATTACAGGACGATTTGAATATCCTACTTGAGTGCGTGGAGCGTCTAAAAAACCACACAAGAATGTTCCTTTGGGTGGTACGTCGCCATGAACCCTAACAATGGATTTAATTGGTCTTAACATCGGTGCCAGCTTCAACATCTAGCAAATTTCACAAGAGTCCGGAACCAGAATAGAAATACGTGGATTCGCATTGTGGACCAAAACACCCGCATTCTAAGTCAGATGCTCTTTCTCGGGAGTCAGTGGGAGTCCCTGGAGCCTACTACTGGAGGTGAGCAAGATCGAGCCCTGGGGTATCGTTTCCCACTAGTATTTGGCCTTGACAATAATTTAGCTCGCCGCCCTGGACTCGGATCCCTTCCTATTACTAGCGAACACTTAGCTGGCTCTAGGCTGCCCATTATTGACCACGAGGACGCCCAAGCGAATGAGGCGACTTCACAGATGCAATTTAGTCCCGGAAGTGGCATTGAATGGATGTTCATTAGTTAGTTAGTATTTATCTACTCTCTATCACTAGCTCGTACTCATGGAATCTATACACTAAATTTGATCTCGCAATATCTACTCTGTATCTAAATTTCCCCATCACAGCCCTGTCCAAGTGAACTCCTTGTCAACCCGGAATGAAACACTCTGAGCGATATCAACGCTAGACAAGCCAACCAGCACAGAGTATTCTCCCTCTTTTGCTTGCCACCGCTTGTTCTGTGCATCGTAAATGCTGACACTGTACTTGTCTAACTCCACACATACTTCTTGGGTCTGCCCAACAGCGACTTCAACCTTGGAAAAGCCCTGAAGCTCTTTTACGGGTCGCTGCTGGAAAGACCCATCGGCTGGCCGGGCCATATCGGGGGATGCAATGTAGAACTGTACCACGACCTTCCCATCGTAGGGCCCAGTGTTTTGAACCTGGGCCTTGATCATGATGGTACTATTGACATCAGTAATGGATCCCTGGCCATAGATCTCGGCCCTCGTAATAGCGTACTTTGAGTACGAGAGACCGTAGCCGAAGGGGAAAAGCGGATCGGGGCTCGCCTTGCGGTCGTACCAACGATAGCCAACATCGAGCCCCTCCTCGTATTTGAGAATGTCATCTTCTCCTACAGGGAAATTCCTAAAAGAAGAATTATCTTCCAGCTTTTTGGGCCAAGAAAGGGGCAGTCGCCCACTAGGATTTACAGCGCCAGTAAGCACGGACGCGACTGAATGACCTGTCTCTTGTCCAGGGAACCAAGCCTGCACAACAACAGGTGTGGAATCGATGAACTGGACTAGGCTGATGGGCGCACCACAAAAGCTCACAACAGCAGTTTTACTGTTTGCAGAGTTGACGGCGTCGATAAGCTTGTACTGGTCGGAGGTGAGGTCCATGGTATCACGATCAAAGCCTTCAGACTCAATCTCATTTGTATTACCAACGCAAACGACGGCATAGTCACAAGCGCTGGCTACCCTCTTTGCTTCGTCAAGGCAATCGTCGATGTTGATTTGCTCGTGGAATCGGACAGCGCTGCCCTGGAACATCTTACCGAAGAGAGGTGCGGCGTTGAGAATCTTGGGTTCACAAGCCCAAGACTCAAGCCTGATCTTGTAACGGCGTCCCGCTTCTTGTTTAAAGGTAAATCGTTTCTCAAGTTGCTTTTTAAAGAAGTAGAATGATTCGGGCCGTAACTTGGTCTCTTGGACACGCTCAAATACAAGAACGTCGTCAATGTAGCACTTGGCGGCACCAGTGCTGATGACTCCGAACATCGCGTCCCCTGATGAAGGAGCAACAAGGTCGAATGTAATACGAGTGCAATATTCAACTCGGTCTAGGTAGTCAGGCCACTTTTCCTTGATCATGTACTCGGCTTGAGGACGAGTCTCCTCGTGGACCTTGTGCTCTCCAATTTTCAAGCCATTGAACCACTCCAACTTGACTGGTTCAGCCCTCTGCTCAGCACTTCCAGGCGCGAATACAATGGAGGGATCTGCATGAGGAATGGCACCGAACACAGGGACACCGACGGCGACAGAGGTGGGGTGGCCTCGTTTCTCGAAACCTTCTACCGGGGTAATGGCGTGCAAAGCATCAACTCGTGCGCTGCCGCCGCCTCCCAACACGACCGATGTGGCATGGTGTCCGATAAGGGCGACAGAAGCGCCCTTGGGTATTGGAAGCACGTTGTTGTCATTTTTCAGTAAGACAATGCCATCAGCTGCGGACGTTTCGATGAGGGCATCTCGCTCAGCGTCTTGAACTTCTCGCTCAGGGTGCTCAGTAGGGTCCTCAAAACGACCGAGCCTCTTAGCAAGTTCTAGTATGCGATGGGCACTGCTATCAATTGTCTCTTTAGAGATTCGGGCGTCTTCGACGAGCTTGATAACCTCGTCCTTCTTCCTCCACTTGGGCAACCCAGGCATCTCGATGTCTACGCCCGCATTGATTCCAGGAGCAACAGAGTAAGTACCCATCCAGTCGGATACAACAACGCCATTAAAGCCCCATTCTTTCCTGAGAACGTTTGTGACTAAGTCATGGCTGTCGGCAACGTATTCGCCATTGATTCGGTTATAACTACATGTTGTTAGACCGGACAATCATTTCGGACCACTACCATCTCGGGACGTACCTCGTCATGAAGCACCAAGGGTCAGACAATCTAAGAACGAGTTGGAAGGGTTTCAGGTAAATCTCCCTCAGCGTTTGCTCGTCGACTTCGACGCTGAGTGTGGTTCGCTGATTTTCAGCATCATTGGCGACAAAATGCTTCGGCGTCGCCGCAACGGTGCCCTCAGCCTGACAGCCACGGACGTAAGCTGCAGCCAGAACGCCCAGAAGAAAGGGGTCCTCACTGTATGTCTCGTAGTTTCGACCTCCCAGAGGAGAACGAATGACGTTCAGGGTCGGCCCGAGCAACACGCTGGCGGATTTCGTAAGTGCTTCCTTTGCTACAGCTGCACCGACTTTTTCAAGAATGGAAGAATCAAAGGTAGATCCTAGTGATGTTCCGCAGGGAAAGCATGCGGCCTTGATGCCAGACACGTAACTCTCGCCACGGGCACCGTTTGGTCCATCTGTAAACTTGGTACGAAATCAGCAACCGGACGTGGCCATGGGATGTAGTGTTCTTGAATTACCTTGATTTGAGGCACCAACACACCATCCCTGTCGACAGAGAATGTGCGCCACCAATCTACTCCAGCAAGCAGAGAGATCTTCTCCTCAAGCGTAAGCTTGGAGACAAGCGATGGAATATCTACTACCGTGGAACTCATATTTACTTCGGAAGTGATTATGGAAGCGTCGTTGATTCCATTATGGGTTGGTCGTTGACGGACGGGCCTAGACCACTTATGTAGCTTTCGTTATTCATTGCGTGCTCCTCGAGTCGGTCATGGCACCCTGGTTTCCTTGATTTTACATCAACTTCCCCGCTGGATTGAGAATTGTGCCTCCTCCCGGTTCATATAAATTGGGGTGTTCGGCGGTACTTGCATCCTATTGGCTGATCGCCGATGGTCGTTCGGCCCCATATCGGCAGAGTCATGCTGTGATTGGCCAACTTAGTCCTTAACCTACTCGCTCCGAATCCCCTAGATTTGCTTCTCGGTACGAACCCCAGAAATCAGCGCATGACCACGTGGAGAAGGTGACATCTCGTGGGGTACCGGGTCTGGGGAGGACTGGGGATTCTTTTGCCGGCAACTTTCAACCATGAGACTCAATACTTCCAGTCTATAAAAGCCGGCACGGCATCCTGCGATGATCATCCCAGACAGAATCTGAAGATCAAGCCTTGACGCTTTTGACAAGTAACCCATCTTCTATCATTCCAATGGCGGCTCCTACTACTCTTGAAAGAGTATCATCGGTTGGGAAGGAACCAACTGTAACCTCTCATACCGAGAAATCGGGCACTGGTCCTGGCCAGACAGTTGAAGAACTTGACAATTTCATTCAACAAGAAGCAGCAAAATGTCCAGCCTTCTACAAATGCCCAAATCTATTTAAACTCTACCTTCTTATGGCGTCAGGATGTTTACTTCCTGCGGTCACGCTCGGATTTGATAGCTCCATGATGAACGGCCTGCAGGCTGTTCCTGCTTGGGATACATGTATGATTCCATTACTCTCCAATGTCACCTTGTTCAGGCTAACCCAAACTCCTAGATTTCAATAGCCCTCGTGGTAGCATTCTTGGTATCACGACTGCCATCCTCGGTCTCGGTGCGATTACTACTACGCCACTCCTTAGTCCGATTGGGGATCGCTTTGGTCGTCGATGGGCGATCTTTCTGGGAACTATTATCATGATCATCGGGGGGGTTCTTCAAGGAGCATCAGTTCACAGTAAGGCTTGAAAAGAATCCCACTGGTCTTATACACTCAACTGACGACCCTTTTCTTCTTCAGTCGGCATGTTTATCGCCTCCCGATTCATCATAGGCCTCGGTCTCGTATTTGCCAACACATTTGCGCCGGTCCTCATCGGCGAATTAGCCCATCCGAAACATCGACACGTCGCTACATCTTTGTACCAAACATCGTATTACCTTGGGGCTATCCTCGCCGCATGGACAACATTTGGAACTTTCAGAATTGACAGTAACTGGTCATGGCGCATCCCTTCATACCTTCAGGCTGCCCCTGCCCTGGTGCAGGCCTGCTGTATCTGGTTCGTCCCAGAATCCCCTCGATTCCTGATTGCCAAGTCTCGCCCCGAGGAGGCCAGAGCTATATTGGTCAAATATCACGCCGAGGGAGATGAAGATTCCGAGTTTGTGAAGGCTGAGTTCCGGCAGATGCGTGCTGTCATCGAGTCAGAGGTCGCCAACAAAACTACCTGGAAGACCATGATCGCAACCCCCGGCAACCGTCGACGTGTCATGGTCCTCGTTATGCTGGGCATCTTTTCCCAGTGGTCAGGGAATGGCTTAGTCTCATACTATATCGCCCGAATCCTGGAGACGGTCGGTATCACCGATGCAAGTGACAAGAACATCATTAACGGGTGTCTCAACATCTGGAACTGGATTACGGCTGTTGCGTCCGCCATTATTTCTGGCCGTCTAAAGAGACGTACCCACTTCATTGTGTCGACAGTTGGTATGTTCGTGGTGTTCAGCATCCAAACACTTTGTGCGGGTCTATTTAACGAGCGTGGAAACAAGACCGCTGGCCATGTTGTGATTGCCATGCTGTTCCTATTCTACCCCTTCTTCAACTTTGCATTCAACGCTCTGCTATATTCATACCCTGTCGAGATTCTGCCCTACCCCATCCGAGCCAAAGGGTTCTCGGTTCTCATGATCTTCAATAAGGGAGGCGTTTTTCTGAATGTATTTGTCAACCCAATTGGTCTGCAGAACTTGGGCTGGAAATACTACGGCGTTTACGTCGGATGGCTGCTTGTGGAAATCTTTTGCGTCTGGAAGTTTTTCCCCGAGACGTCTGGACACAGCCTGGAGGCTATCGCCGCCGCTATCGACGGAAAGACTGCGGTGGATAATGAAAAGGCAATTAATCAGAAGATCCCCGAAGAGATAAAGGATCGCAAGGAGTAATCGCTCATTGTAGTGCAGTCCCAGTCGTTAGTCTTGAGAAATATCCCGTCCATGGATGCAACTATACCTAGTACTTCTATGGCTATATAATTCTCACCTGAAAATATTATAACTTTTATTTCTCATCATCTAATGAGCTTATGTCCTTGTTTTGCAGTCCCCACAAGTGAAAAGACTGGCCGGGAGATAGACCTAATCAGCCATTGGATGGCTAAGTCCCACACTGGCTGGCCTCCTGCAGCAATTAGTGATTGAGCCATCACAACTCCTTTGATGCCTAATTCTACCCAATATGTCCCCTCTTCTACATAAGACAGAGGAGACCCTAAGCTCTCTTCAACCCCAGCGCTCGCTAAGCCTTCCGCTATCCTTGTTATCGATCCACAATGGGTAACGTCTTTACTCGCGAAACTCCCCAACCTCAGCCCCACATACCTGCAACTGTGATACAACTACCACGGAAACAATGTCGGTTCTTTGCCAAGGGTCGTTGCAGAAAGGGAGATGCATGCACCTTCTTACATGAGAAAACGAATGGAAAAGAAGAAGCCACAGCGTCAAGGGTACTGTTGATTTAGTTTGATAGCTATCTTGCCAAACGCTGACAGAGTTACTCTAGGATGACGAGACCATAGACGATTCAACTCGAGAATTTGGAGGAGCCTGGGTTGAGTTTGGGGATGGAGCAACCACTCATCAAGTCTCCCTGCCCTCTGACTTTTCTGCCATCCGCATCGGTAACCTGCCGAGTGATTGCTCAGCCAAATCCGTCTCAAGTTTGCTCTCGGATGTAGGCCTGACCATATCGCAACACGACGTGCGCCTCACGAAACACACCGATCCTACAAAATGTACCGCCGTGGTTAAAGTCAAAGACCCGTCCTTCTCGAGGGAGGCTTGCAGAAAGCTAGGCACCTGCATCACACTGCGAGACCTCGAGGTAGCTATTATGCCCGTTCCGCTGCCAAGGGGGTCTCAATTTCGTCAAGTTGATTGCAGGCAGGTGCAGTGTTCGTGGCATCGACCAAACCGAGCAGTGCATCTCTTCTTCGGGAGTAAGCATATCGCTTCCAGGCTTCATCAGAAGCTTCGTACTGGGAAAGTGAAAGTGAATGCATCGCAAGTCAAGGCTTATCCGCCCGTCCCTCAAAAGACCCACGACAGTGAAACGAGCTGGATGGTCAAGCTAACGGGCCTGCCTAATACTGCCAAGGAGGAAGACATCATGCAGGCCATTCCTAAGCTGGACAGGCCTCGCCGAGTTGAAATGGGAGAAATGAGTTATGTCGCTGACATGGAGATTGATTCGACCTTGATCCAGTCAATGCTTTATGAATTTGGGCCGCTGGAGAGATGGGAAGTTTCTGACACATCAAAAGGGGCGCGAGTCAAGGCCCAGGCGACTTTCCTGGAAGAGTCTCAAGCCCACCATGCTGCATCAGCCCTTGATGGAAAGCCGTTGCCGTTCTGTGACTCGAGCAAACTTTTTGTCGAGGTCATCACCTCAGTGAGGTTCAAAGTGTCGACACGCGTATATGATGTGATTCAGCAGCGAATCAACGCTCAAAAGAGCTCTTGGGATCGTCAGTATATCCATTTCTTCGCCTTTCCTTCACGTGGCTTCTATCGCGTCCTTAAGCTCGAAGGTAGGGACCGTGAGTCAGTTGCGAAGGCAAAGCAGGACCTCGATATCATCCTTACCGGAGATGTGATGAGGCTAGATGACAAGGCTGTCTTATACCCAGGATCCACGATCAGTAGAGAATTTTACAAAAGACTCAAGATGGTTGAGGAGGAGTTGGGCGTCGTTATCATTCGTGACGCGCGGACTTCCCAATTTCGTGTCTTTGGTCCTGAAGCACATCAGGCCTTGGCAACAGAAGCTTTGGATCGTCTCATCAAAGAAATGATTTCAACTCTTCATTTTATTCCACTCAGCCAGGACAACGATTTTCGATGGGCTATGAACGGGGGGTTCAAAGCACTCAGGGCGCAGCTTGGAGGCGACAAGGCCGCGCTTGACGAAGAGTCAAGATGCATTATAATCCGGGGATCTGACAGTGACTTTGCCAAAGCCAAATTCATCGTGGCCTCTAAGCAAAAACAAATCTCAGGGGAACACCGAGGGAAAGACACGGAATGCTCGATATGTTTATGCGAAGCCGATGAGCCGATCCACACTTCTTGCAATCATATCTACTGCGGTCAATGCTTCATCGACATGTGTCAAGCACAAGCCTCGGGCCCAGCGCAATTTTGCATCACTTGCAATGGAAACTTAGGCCAGTGCGATCACATCTTTGAGCTTGCTGAAATCCGCAATCTTCTTTTATCAGAGACATTCGAGGACATCCTTGAAGCATCTTTTCGGTCTTTTGTTCAACGTCACCCAGACCAACTCCGATATTGCCCTACTCTTGATTGCTCTCAGATCTACCGTGTTGCCTCCAAGACGGGGAAACAACCGGCAACTTTTACCTGTGACAAGTGCCTGGCCTCAATTTGTGCAGCCTGCCACACCTCTCATCCTGGCGTCACCTGTGCGCAGCATCAAGGAGATTCTTCTGGCGACCTCCAGGCCCTAAACAAGGTAAAGAAGGAGTTAGGTATTCAAGACTGCCCTAGATGCGAAACTTCCATGGAGAAGACTGAAGGCTGCAATCATATGACTTGCCAAGGATGCAAATGTCATATTTGCTGGGTATGCCTAGCTACGTTTGACGAAGGCTCGGTCTGCTATGGGCACATGAGGAGGCTACACGGAAACATCGGCAATTAACAAAAAAGAATTGCGTTGAGGGTCTGCTCGGGAGGGAAACGTTGGGGAAATTCAAGAACGTCATCTCATAGTCAGGCGGACCAGCTATAGTAACTTTATACCGCTTGAATTCTGGGTCAGGTTTCAGTCAAGTTCGACCAAGCTAAGGTTTCATACCTAGGGGTGAGTTTCAAAAGTATTAGGAGCTAAACAGCCCTATTCTTAATTGCCTTTTGCTACGATAATGCTATTTATCTTATAAACTGTACCTTCAAATAGGTATATATAAGTGTCCGCTTTCTGTCGTGACAGCGGGCCAGCCGCCCGATCAACCCAGAGGATTCCACCCAAACTGGTGCTCACAATCAGCCAGACCATTGTCCTTATTGGTGTAGTGGTAATACAAAACGGTGCCCCTGTTGGGATCCGATAGAACACCAGGGCCCTAAGGTCCGTAGACGTCGTGGTGGCTGCCATTGCAGCGTGCCTCCCCGCCCCTGCCGCTATTCTTGCTGCTCTGGCCCATAAAGGGCCTGGAGGCGCTCTGGGACCAGCAGATCCAGTGAGGGTGACCACTTTCTTTTCAAACGCTCGACTGATGACGGCTCTTTGATCTATATTCCCATACACGTGGTTTACATCCCACATGGAGCTCTTTAGTTACCGCGAGGGCGGAATAGTAACAACCGCGCTGGCTGGGTCTAATCTGAAGAAGCTGCCCCGGTTCAGGAAGAGCAGCTCAATTTTTTCAGCGGGTTTCTTATCCACAGCACATCTCGTTCTTATCTGGCTCGAATTTAGTATTTTAGATGACAAAGTCGGCACAGACGCTGGTTGATCCCGGTCTGAACCGGTTCTACTGTTCCTAGGATTCAAGTTAGAACGCCTGTCTTGGTAGGTTATAACCCTGGCATAAGGTATTTGTGGCATCGCAGCTCGGACGAAAACTCTCGTTCCACCTATAAAGACTATGGATGAATTCGGTGTCCAGTCGGGAGACCGGCCTCTGAGCGTGGTTGGCCGTTGAAGAGTCACGTTTGAAGGATAATTGCCACCAGGTCTAATCTTCAAGGTGGTGTCTCAATTATTATGTTAGTCACTTGCCTGCGTAGAAAGACGTTTCTCCCTATGCTCTACTGGAGAGATCTATTCTGGACTATGGCCGAGGTGGGGTTGTTCACAAGATTTCCGGTACATCACATCATTGCATCCAATAACCTGTTGAAATATGTAATCTAGATACATGCCTAAAGCACAGATTAGCCGTGCCCGCAAGGTCGAAACCTAAAGGTGACGTCGGTAACAAAAAGACAACGAAAATGTCCGACTTTCTTCGCCTTGCTGCATACGAATAAACATGAAGACTTCAATCTGACGTATCTTACTTGGGTGTATGTCATCCCTTTTTGACCTGCTATGCTACTGTGTGGGCGTCTCGGTCATGTAGGCTTCTGTCACCAAATCGAAGGCACCAAATCATCCCAACAACTAACATTTATTATTTTCTCCCCCAAAAGCTAGCGATCAGTGGATTTTCCACGCCCCTCAATGTTTACAGAGTCTTGCCCTGGGCAATCTTGGCCTCGCCGTACTTTCGAAGTCGGATGGCCTGGATAGCGATGAAACCGCTCGTGTCCAAAGGAGAAAAGGTATCTAGCGAATCCATCGAGGCATCCTCCTCGCTGTAAAGGTTGCTGGTCTCGCTGCTGCGGCCAACCGTGTAGGCGTTGCCCTCTGTCACGGTGAAGTTAGTGATATTCTTGGTTATGTATCATCTTAAGGGGGAGGGCGTTTGCCGCAAGACTTACTGTATGCCATCATCTTGACAGTACCGTTGACACCGTCCTGCGCAAAAATGACCGAGTTCTCGGCGAATTCACGCTCGGGAGAGCTATTCAGCTATTAGTATTTGACCCTTTGCAATTGATAACCCTGGGTGAACACTCACAAGTACATTCCGTTGTACAACTGCCGGCTCCAGGCAGTAGTAACAAACGTATCGCGAAGCTCGCGAACCTTCGAATCCAATGTGAGGCCCTCAAGGTCGACTAAGAATTGTCAGTTAAATTCATCACTCATCTAAGAAAAGGTAATTCTTCTTACCGTGAGCAAGTCGGGCTAAAGTAATTCCCGGGCTGTCATAACAACCCCTGCTTTTCAAGCCTGGGGGGGAAAAAAGATCAGTGTCAGCAAAGACGAAATTTCGGGGAGCGCAGGGCCGAGGGGAGTATAGGCCAATCTACACCCCAGTCGATCCAAATCATGCCCACTAGTATATGTTTAGGTGTATGACCAACGCGTCTGCCGTCAAAACAAGCAGTCGATGCGTAGCTGACCCGTCTGTCTGGTGTGAGGAGCGATTGTTGGGGCCATGACTGACCTGTCCTCTGTCGAGACGAATAATCACTGCAACACGGGCCACCTAAAAGATATACTAGTGGGCGTGATTCGGACGAGGCTGTAGACTCGACTGTATTCGGCCGGGTGGGCTCCGTACAGCCCGAATGCCCAACTCCACCATCAATCTCAAGGTTAAGAGAAATAATTGCACTCGCGATGCCCTCAAAAGACCATAAAGAGCAAAAAAATACGTACCAAGAAATCTGTTTTCTACAACGTCGATCCTCCCGATCCCGTTGTCGTGCCCGATCTTGTTGAGGAGCTTGAATAGCTCAACAGACTCAGTAGCCTCCTTGCCATCTTCGGTTGTAACCTTGACAGGGATACCCTTCAGAAAGTCGATGGAGAAGTGGTATGGCTTGTCGGGAGCATCAACCGGATCAACAGTCATCGTCCAGAGATTCTTAGGAGGCTCACGGTTGGGATCTTCGAGAATGCCAGCTTCGTAGGAGCAGTGCACCTACATATTCCCAAAATCATTAGCGACTGCGCATCGTCAACCTTGAAAAGAGAAGAATTACGAGATTGGCATCCATGGACCAAGGGGCCTTGGGAGTGGACGAAACAGGGATGTTGTTGACCCTGGCGTACTCGAGCAGATCTGCCCGGCCCTGGAACTTGGCAATGAACTCGGGAATCCTCCAAGGAGCGATAATCTTGATACCGGGTGCCAGTGCTTCGAAATATTAGTCGGGTTTGAGATGAGGATATAGTTGGAGGCCATTAGTCAAATGGGTGAAGTGGAAACCGTACCATGCCAGGCAAGTTCACTGTCATCATATGTTAGCCACTTTTCCTAAACTGCAAGATTTGAGGTGAATCATACAATCGAACTTGATCATTTCCTTTGCCTATTTCCCATCATGTCAGAGGCAGAACTGAAGTCGGTGTAAAGAATTACTCACCAGTACATCCGTGGCTCAGGAAGTCGCAGTTGAACTCTTTGGCAACACTAACTAGCCTATTTGGAGCGAGGTCAGCAAACGCTCTCACTCTTCAATGGGGATACCCCTCCCAATCCAACGGCTGCGCCTTGAGATAATTCAGGAGAGCTCTCTCGATCTTGGACTTGTCCAAAGCCTCTGCCATCACGGGGCTGGGGGAATGAATAGTACAATCTGAACTCTGAAACGCGGCCGTCCAGGAGCTGTACTGCTGCCGATGGAAGTTGAAAAAACTCACTCTCGTGCAATGACCGGGCGAGCCAGACTTGTGCCAAGAAGATATCGATCTTCCTATTGATAGTCAGTACAGAGAACCCCCTTGTACGTAAAGGGAATCAATGGGATTGAAGAACCCACGTAGATTGCGTTGCACTGGATACTTCTAAACACGATATCCTCCACGAATTCCTTTTGTTTGTTGCGGATGATCATGCGTTCGGCGCCAACCGCGAGAGCTTTCTTCTCGACATCTTCCCAGTCCTCCTCTTGACCGCTGCGTTTGTCAGTGACACGACCTCGAATACCATGAGGAGCTAGCAGTGGATACCTACACATCGATGTTGCAAGCGACGACGGTGTACCCATCGTTCACGAGCCACTTCAAAATGGTGCTCGTGTCAAGCCCTAATTCATTCATTGTCAGCTACCCGCAGGTAAATGATTGAGGTATGTTGGGCCGAGATACCTCCAGAGTAGGCGCTGAAGTGGAATGGTTAGCAGGAGAGCGTGACTAGGTTGTTTGGCGTGATGGTGGGGTAAGACTCACAGACAAACGCGGCCCTTAGACATTTTGAAGGTCAAGGGGAGAGATGATAGGCGGCAGATAACCCTTTGTGAAATTGATTTGCAATATATGAGGTCCGCGGGCGTGGGCGTGTTCAATTGAAGATGTGAATTGGAAAGAAGGAGGGGGGGCAAACTTTGTTGATAAGTGGGAAAAAATTGTTGATAAGACCGGAAAAACAATTGATCCGGATTACTTGCCGACATCGGGTCTTAGCCGCACGGCATGACTGACACAGGAGGACGGTGCAATCACCTGAAAATCTCCTAATTTCGGAAGCGGTCAGTCAGAGTCACAGTCGCAGTCTTTCCCCCAAAAGAGAAACTGTATCTTAGAAGATACAGTAGTACCTACCTAGGTAGGTATGGCGACTAAGTCACTGTATAATGTATCTGCACGTGACCTTGAAGCTTTTTTTGTGCCCAGGCTTCTGAACCACATAGCGACCTACCCAGGAGCCCCACAAATGGGAACGTAGTTAGTTCGGTGGGATCCGATCAGCGCCCACAAAAGCCGGCCTCAAAATCAAAATGGTTTGATGCTAGGGCCCCCAGGTGCTTTGATTGAAGGGTGTGCACTGAATTAGGTAGTACTACTTAGTGATCCCTACAGATAAGGTGAGGTGAAACCGAGAGAAGCGTGAAGCTTGGTCGCGTCAACCTATGCAGACCCCACTATTACGCGTAATCCCCTTTAACCTCTGGTAATTTTAATTTTCACCCATCTTTCTAGACTCAGACTTCTTCTTTATAAGCCTATTTATTTCTATCTTCACTAATCTCAGTCATTTCCGTGAGTACTAGAATCCTTATTAGCTACACGATTTCTTATACTAATTACTATACGAGAGATTGATATTTTCTTCACCTGCCCGGCCGTTTACCTCGCCAAACCATCACCGCCACGCCACCCGTGCCGCCCGTCTGCTTGCTTGAAGGTTTGTTATCACTCGCTTATTATAGGCGAGCTGGGTTTCAGAATATTAAGCAAACTAATATCCTAATTATCTAGAACCTTCCATGGAAGACGTCTCTAGTCTATATAAGATAGAGGAAGTGCCCAGAAGCTCTTCCATGTTTATTAGCTGTTTCCATTAATACACTCACGACTTCAAGTGGTTATAAGCCCGGAGATTCTACTGTGGGTTTCTTGCTATCTTTTCTTTGCCTCACGGCTACTCACTTTTGCCTCACGTCTAACTTACTCCTTCCTTGATCGCCCTCTGGTCTCGTCTTTTAGGAGCGGCCAGAGTCTTCCTAATTAGTCTCTCAGGAGCCAGCAAACCATTGACGAAGTCACCCGTGCTCTCTCCCTCTCTCCCTCTCTCCCTCTCTCCCCCTCTCCCCCTCTCCCCCTCTCCCCCTCTCCCCCTCTCCCCCTCTTTCCCTCTTTCCCTCTTTCCCTCTTTCCCTCTCTCCCTCTTTCCCTCTTTCCCTCTCTCACTCTCTCTCGCCTCGTCTCTCAGGAGCCACCCTCTTCAAGATGACAAGCCCATCCGGTCCGGACAACACTAATGGTTTGAGTGGTTGGGGAGCCACGCTCACCGACTATCATGTGAGCAGAGGAGCGAAACGTCGACAACCGCGGAGAACAGCCCGTGTCCAAACTAAAAGGAGGAAACGGGGAAGGGGGCAACCACCTCGCCTTGCTCCTCATTTAGATGAGTTTGATCAATACACTCGTGTTCTAGCATCTGATGAAGAGACAGCCTTCCCTGGACTCGATAGCACATTTGGTCCCGATGACGGCATTGAAGCCGAACAAGGGGAAGAGCAGCTGGGTGATGTGTGGCTGGCAATGACAGGGACACCTCTGGATATGATGGTTGTGCAGATGGAAAACGCATGTGGTCCAGTATCTTCGAATTCAAGTAAGCATTGATGTTTTATTCTTGAATACTTCATGCTCTCCCTCCGTCTTGATGAAAGCTGTGGCCATTGTGATTCTGACCAATGCCCCGCATTTTACAGTTCCTGAATCCTGCCTCGACGACATAAAGAATCACGACAACTAGTACGCGTCAATTCTTAATAAATTGTTCGATGCAGCCCTGAAGACAGCGGATAGCTCAGTCGCAGACTCACCATTCACTCCCCTCATGCTCCGTTGGCTGAAGGCCAACTCAACTGTGGGAGTCCGAAACTCCATGTTGGAATTTTTGTTACATCCGCATGTTAGGTCTTATCGAACTCGCGCTGCGCTAAGTCAACGCAGAACCGACCACATTCTCAGTATTCTCGAGACCTTTCCGCTAAGTGAAAATGGAGAGGGAATCCCAAGCGTACTTGGCACATACGCACTATTTGGCGAGCAGAAAAATGATGACGACGATGAAGACATTGTTTATGCTGGCCAAAGTAGCGAAATGAAAGGGCGAACAGAGAGAGGCTGTGGGATACGAAAAAGATCCACGCAACACTACCGCCAGATATCAATCTGCAAGCATGCTCCACCGGACAAAACCCGAAGTGACGCCCAAAGAAACGCGTTGTGGGTTCACAAAAGGTTGGCGAGCCCTCAAGTTCGTACAGTGAAGCTGGCCATCTTGTCCGTTTTTCCATTTCCGCATGCAGATATAGGAAGAGACAATATTCATTTCCGGTTCATCCTAACACTGGCTGAGGCCATCGACATCTTGTTTCTGAAGTCCTTGAGCTGGGAGGAACATGAGCCTACCGCTCAAGAATACCAATTGACATCTGGAATGACTCTTCGACCAGCAGACATGCCTCAGTGGAGACTTAAGGGTGCGAATCGTGCGTTGCCAACCAAGCAGTTGTCAAAAATTGGCAGCCCGCTACTAAGCCTATATTGGTTGCCAGACGAGATTGCAGTATTCCTCGACCTTTTCCAGCAACATCAATCTGAAATCTACTCATTTTCGCCAATTAAAATTCATTGGGACATTTTAGCTGAGCTATTACACGCACAAGCTGTGGATAAGACCGAGGCCCAGATACAGAAATTGTATTATTCCCTTGTTTCAGTCCCTGAAAGTGGACTTTTCTCACTAAGAAACGCTTGTTGGGGCCGTATATGGGGCCAAATCAATGATTTCAAGGAGTTCTTGGAACAAAACCAGCTTATCAATGAACCGAAAGATGAAAACGACTTGTTTTTCCACATCCCAGCCTTGGAGGATGGACTTGATACTGTTAATCAACTGACAAACTTTGTCCGGAATTTCGGGCGTGCTGGCGATTTTCAACCCAACTTCTTAGCAACTTTCCTTCCTCGACACCTTCCAAGCCTCCTGCAGAGAGGGATCTGGGACCGTATCACCAGTAAGTACTGAAAATACATTCAATTTACCTATAAGACTAATGCATACTACCTATAGGGTCAATTCCTAATCGCTTGGAGTTCCGCACTGAGACATTAAGTAGCTATCTTGTTGATCGAACAGTAGCTGTGATAATGCATCATGCCCGAGTAATTCTCAGAAAGATGCAGCGAGATCAGCCCGGCCCTAATCCCCGAAAAAAAGTTATTCCGAAGCTATCTTGGCCGAAATTCCTTGAACTATGGCATCAAGTTCAAAGTGAGCTTTTGGTCGATGGTGTCCCACCTGATCGCATTTTACCCGGCGGGATGTTTCATCTTGCCCAAATCTGGAGGGCAAATAGCCATTACATCTGGAAGAATGAACATTCGCAACCTCTGCCGCCATGGAAGTATGACCCAGCCCTTGATAAAAGTAACAAAGAAATAGCCAACTCCTTCACGCCGTTTCTACACAAGAAAACTAGCGAGGTTGACGCCTACGACGTAATGTCAGCCGCAGAACAGGCAGAGCAAATGTGTCCCTGGCCCTCTGATTCCGCTCGCCACAATACACTAGCTGCTACGAGAAAGGAGCTTCCTTTCAAATCATCTGAGACTATGGAAATTTCCCAGGGAACCCTGACCATACATTGCAATCTCCGCGGCCAAACAAAGATAGGGCAACACCGGCCGTCGACGTTTCGGCTTCTTTGCTGCATCATGATGAGATGTCATGAAGCCGTATTCAACGGCGATTTCAGTAGTGACCCTGACAGCCGCTTTTGGGAAGCCCTATATGTTGGATCGCTTGATGACTCTTGGCATGTCCAAGATTGTGCCAGGCTAAAGCAGCGCTTTGAATGGATTCTGGAATTTATCCGGGAGGGAAGACTGCCTATGGAAGCCCAAACTGCGAAGAATATCCTGAAAAACGCCTTGGCGTGCGGTGTTTTGAGTTCTTCAAGTCATCCATATGGTTATGATGGCAACCAAGCGAAACAAAACTACTTGAATCCGGACCTGTGCCCTGGCTGGATCAAGTCGTTCTTGGCTGCTGACGGCTCACTGTCACAAATTGAAAAAGAAATGAAATGCAGAATGAAGGACATTGGGATCCATGGGTTTTGCAACCAGTATAGTATTTTGATTGCTCAACTTTGGGAAGAATCCATGTTTTCTACCCCATCTCAAGGAGCGGCACAAAGTTGGCCTACCGCCAGTACCCACGACGCGATTGTCCACAGCGCGGCTACCAACGACACGACTGCCCGCGACAGCGACACCTCAGACTGTTCAGGCAGTCCGGATCAAGACTTGCCACCCTTGAGCCAAAGTGTAGAGCCAGAAGGCCCCCCTCTACTCACGCCTGATGAGACACCCGAGGGCGCAACAGTGCGGTGGAGTGCAAATGAGGACGATTTCTTGCGAAAGCTTTTGAAGCTGGACATTCCTTGGCCCGAAAGAAAACGGCGTTTCCAAGAAGAATTTGGACCTCTACGCTCCACAAACAGCTTGAAGATGAGGGCGAAAAGAGTAGAGAAAGACTTCGTACGAATGCAGAACTCTTGGACAGATCATGAGAAAAATTCCTTGCGAAGTCTAATCGAAACTGAAGAGAGCTGGGACAATGTGATTCGCAAGTTTGAAGAAAAGTTCAATACTAAGCGATCAAGGATGGCAATGACGCATGTTGCAATGCGCGAAAAGTGGGACACAACTAGGCTAGTGTCTCAAAACCCATATTCAGAAGACCAAGACGCCTTCATTGCTAGCCTAAGGACGGAAAATGTATCAAAGGAACGCTGGCCGACCTTGTTCCTAGAGAAGTTTGGTTTCAGCCGAACAAAAGCGGCGCTCCAGAGGCGAGCAGGTGTGCTAGGCGTCAACAATGAAATCCGAAACAAACTTCCTTGGAGTTCAGAAGAAACAAAGTTTCTAGAGACCCTCATGGACTCTGAAATCGACAATGACGAAATTCTCCAACGATTCTGGAGAGAGTATGGACAGGAACGGAGTCAAAGATCAATAATTGGCAAGTTAGAACATACCAAAAATGTCCAGAAGAGATCCACAAAACCCAGATCACGGGTGATTTGGTCTAAAGCTGAAGAAGACTTCGTCAGGGCCTGGTCTGGTACGCGAAAGGATTTGACTTCCGAGCTCAATGCAAAATTTGGTAGCAACCGGATCCGCAGAGCTGTATCTGACAAAGTCCGGGCTCTGGGACGTGGAAACAAGAATAAGACAAACGACAGAGCCGGCGAGGACACAAAGGATAGTACGATGGAGGAATGTGTTGACGAGGAGGAAAGGACAGGGCTTTATTGAGGTGTTGATCACGCCTTTACCCAGAAAGCTCTGTTGTGGGATACCCTTCTGTGAGTTAGAGTAGTGAAAATTGGACTAGCCATTGATTATGGACTATTGTCTGGGCTGGCTGAGTTTTGGCTTGGTGAAACCTTGCATGATCCTGAGTGACTCTGACTGACACTGATCATGGCTAAGCCGCAGTCTAATATAGAAATATGAGGCGATTGCTTCTAAGGAATGACTACATGAATATAATTGATATATAACTTGCCACAAACAAAACGGTGCCTAATCCCATCCCATACCTAAAACCCTTCGCCTTACTTGTGTTCGCGCTCATTGCGTAGCACTTGATGGTTGTCCCCGCCCTCGATGCGGCTGTGAGACACCGCCTTTTCCGGCAGCGCCTTGGCAGTCTCATGTGCCGACTTTGGATTCGTCATTAGGTATAAGAAGCCTCCGCCCAGTGCCAATCCTGCTGCAATCATGACCATGCCGCTGCTGTCCCTCTTGCTATAGTTTCGTTGGTTAGTCACGCTGTTCAGAGGGGATGGGGCTGCCAAGAAACTAACCCTTTCCCCGAGGAACCTCCCGAGTCGACAGAAGCCGGCGAAGGTCTGCCGAAAGCTGACGGTTGACCAGCCGTCGCATATGAGCGGGTCGCGACCAGGCAAGGGGCCCTGGCACGCCGGACACATTGGGCCAGGCCAGGGCGAAGTCGAAGGAGAGATGCCATTGTGGTGTAATTGGTGGTGTGTTGTAGGGACAATTCAGGAACTAACAAGGTGGGTTACCAACTTAGCGTCAATTGGAAATGATTTATTGTTTCAGTCAGTGGAAAGGTCTTTAAAGGGGCATTTATATATGCTAGGACCAATCTCTGTTGAGAGTCGATGACGCATCACGTAGACTCATGACGCTGGTCTTGGGTCTAGTCTGAGCAATGATGCACTAAATATGTAAGTCGACCGTCAGAAGCATCGATCCTCTCTAACCTTTAGCGCGCGATTTGGATGTGGGCAACTGAGGAAAATAATCGAGACTACCGTTTCCGCATCAGCGCCTCTGAGAGTCAATTGATGGGTGTCGTCACAGAGGACCTGCCACGCCGCAGCACTCGGCTGCAGGCGCGCAACGACCATGCCATCAGGAGCAATCGGTCGATATGTGGTCCTCAACAAAGCCACGGACGGCGGATCAAGGAAGAAGGTGATGCTCCCGTTGAGCGACAGACGTCGCTCATCGTCAAGAGTCGACAGCCGAAGTTGGCGAAGCTCCGAACCCCAAGCCGGTTGATCGGCTACTTAAAAACCACTTCGGCCTGTCGCAGCCCTCCGATCCACGCCCCACGATTTGGACTCATCCAAGAAACATTGGGTCACGATCTTTATGAGCTTCTTGTCGCTGCCATGCTCTGGAACCGAACGAGAGGCATGCAGGCTAAGCCCATCTTCTTAGCTCTAATTCAGCAGTACCCAACCCCAGATGACCTTGCTAAAGCCAATCTCTCCGAGCTTACAGATCTCATCCGGCCGATTGGTTTGTACAACTCGAGAGCGAAACGTTTTCTGTTGTTCGCACAAGCGTGGATCTTGAGTCCTCCTAGCAAGGAACGACGATACCGTAGGATGCACTATCCTGGCGCTGGGGATGGAAAAGACGTCGGAGCGGCTGAAATTCTTGATGAAAATGATATCCGGGAGGGCTGGGAGATTGCTCATCTACCAGGCGTCGGTCCATACGCACTTGATAGTTTTCGCATATTCCATCGCGATATGCTGAGGGGATTGGCTAAGGACTGGGAGGGAACCGGTGCCCCTTCGGGGTTCGAACCTGAGTGGAAGCGCGTCATCCCAGTTGACAAAGAGCTCAAGGCCTACATCCGCTGGAGATGGTTGAAGGAAGGCTATATCTGGGATCCGTCCTCGGGGCGCGCAGCCGTTGCGTCGGCGAAGAGGATGAGGCAAGAAGCTGAGCGGACGAAGAGCCTCTCGCCAGAATTAATTTAATTATCGAGAGATTTGGTTTTTCATGCAAGCAGCAAATCATCATCTAGATATCATAAAGATGTGTGTTCCTGATAGACTCAGCCATCGTGTCATGATAGCTGATTCTTCCATTAGCAGAAAAAGGCCACTGCGTTTAGAGGTAAGAGATATTTTATTAATATGAAATGCCAATCCCTTGGCTTTCTTTATGGAAGAGAGATAAGTGTCGAGATATATTATAGTTCCCGATTTTATATTTCTCTTTTTATCATACTACGCTTTGATAAGGTCTTCATTATCAACATTAAAAACTTCATTAAGTAACAGAATTAAATGAGATTTACATCATTAGCCTTTAGTTTTTTCATTAAAAAAAGTATATATAGGCTATTTTTATATGGAATAGAATAAAGGAAAAGACCTACAATAAAATAAATAAAAAACGCAGATAGCACCTGCCTCTTTTGTTTATCCATTCGATCTACAGTACTTTTACTGTGTAAGCTGCGGGGAAATATAAAAGCAATTCTAACGCGCATCCACCTTTTTCTTCTTTCATTGTTCATCTACATACTAAGTGATTATTACACAAAATATATAGCGCTACCATCAGATACACTATCTCCTATCTTTAACGATAAATCATGGAGGAACGAAGGAAATTGTACGGAAAGTATCCTTCGCTGAGGAAGCTTGAGGAGCTAGGTGACGCTTATGTTGAGGTTTGAAAGACTTCCTATGATCTACAGTTTTGAGACACTCTACTAATATTCGTTTCAGTGGAATGACGGTCGTGAACCTGCTCTTCTGCGCTGGCTTTACGACCATGCTTCGTTTCCGCAGATGCGTAACAACCCTCGTGTCATCTGCGACGCTATGGACGAATACGCCGCGCAGCACAACTTTTTGATCAACATCGGTCCCGACAAGGCGGGAAAGGTCGCCGCTCTAATCTCTGAAAAGAAACCCCAGATATTTGTTGAGTTGGGCGGGTATGTCGGTTACTCAGCCCTCTGGTTTGGAAATGCATTGAAGAATGCGTACAAGAACGGTAACAACGATGGAGATCAAGCTGTATACTGGAGTCTCGAGGCCGATCCCGTTTTTGCAGGAATTGCGATGAATCTAGTCGACTTGGCTGGGCTAGGGGACATTGTAAAGATTGTCACCGGAAAGGCTGCCGAGTCGCTCTCGCGTCTCAAGGAAGAAGGCAAGCTTGCCGAGGTGGATATGCTGTTTTTGGATCACATCGAGGACCTGTATGTGACCGACCTCAAAGTCGCCGAGTCTCTGGGATTGCTCAAGAAGGGTAGTATCGTGGTGGCAGATAATGTCCTTCGGCCCGGTGCGCCTGACTACAAGAAATATGTCGAGCAGCATCCGTCAATGGAGACACGGGCTATCAAGGGCCTAATTATTCCTGGAGAGTTTGAGGTATGTACCTATACGCAAAGAATCACATCTCTCGTACTAATTTTCGGTAACAGGACGAGATTGAGGTGACCGAGTACACGGCATAGAATGTATTGCTTGCAAGCCCAACGATCGTCATTAATGAATACAACAATCTCCTCTCCAAGGACAGGTAGTTGCTGCATTTCTTGAAAGGGGGAATTGTTCCAATTATCAACTATTTTATAAGAACCGAACGGCTGAAGCCAACCCTTCATGAACGGGATTCCTTTCCCCCCATGACTTTACAACTATCTCATGTGGCCAAGTCGTGTATGGCCCAAAGAATGTGTCCCTCCGAGCGGTTTGGGTTATCCAATCTTTTATCCTTTCGTGACTTACACGAATATCGAAATACTCTCGTCATCGGGGAAACATCCTTAAATCAAAACGCATGGAGCCATCAAGTGAAGCCTATAGAGACTTTGGAGACCGACTTTTGCACGCCTGCCGTACTCTCCATACCAGTCTTCGACCCCCTCCCCCCTCCCCCCTCCCCCCTCCCCCAGAGCTTCCAGCAACCTTCGATCGAGGCGATGCTTCACTCAGCAGAGACTTTGGGAACCGACCTCTGTAGGCCCGTCGTACTCTCCAAGTCTCATCATATTCTGATCCCTAAACTTCCGACGGCGTTCGATGGGGACGATGCTTGACCGAGCAGAGACTCTGGGAACCGACTTTTGTACGCCTGCCGTCGCCCGCCGTCGCCTGCGATACTCTCCAAAGTCTTTGACCTAATCCAGGCGGGGACCATTGGGACACATTGGACCACTCTTTACGAACCACTGTCCAAGCTCGTCAATTTCAAACTCTGGCATTTTGTAATATGTTGGCAGCTCATCGGGAGAACTTGGAGGTTCGGGATTCAGGTCATCCACCACCTCAGTAGCCCCAGATATCGCTACCATTCTTAGAGCATTAGCCCCATAAGATTAGTCAACATGATACGTAAATTCGACAGTCTCATGGGCCTATTATGGGCCGAGAATGGCATGATATGGCATGCTTCAATCTCAGGGCAGCCTGTTACGACACAACATTGGTCGCGTTGTCGTGCCTTATCTGCCTCGGACTGATTTCTGTCCTGATAGAGATTGGCTGTTGAGCAGAGAATCGAAACCGATAATAAGAATAATAATAACAATCATAACAACAATAACAACGACAACAACAATAACAACAACAATAATAATAACGACAATAACAATAATGTTGAGAGACAAACCTCTAGACACCCTTCAATCTCCTACTACTGTACTACAATCCGACACTGATAAAGAGGACCCCCTATACCAGCCAGGCGTCAAAACTGATGAGCACGGCAACAAGACAAAGCTTCGGCCAGAAGTGCTGCCTGTCCTTGATCCTAAGCACTACTAAAGATAAGTTAAATATTCAAAATGAAAGTGATAAACCGCTGGATAAGTTTCTAATCACATCTCGTAGCCACACGTCACTCGAAAAATGCCATCAAGTGACCACTGCTGAATGGATATGACCTGCTTCTCGTAGTCGCGCGTGCTTGTTGTTATACTCCTGCTCCTGCTCGTAGCGGTGCAGCCGGTTTCTTTCTCAGCGGCCCTGACAGATATTTCTAAGCTATATTCGTATTCAAAAAGGAGTGGATCTTGGATCTAATTGCCGTCTACCGGACACGGATGAATGGGGGGGGCAGCTCTTAGTCCTAAAGACGCCGCAGGCCTCGAGAAGGATATGGGCAAATCTAACAGCGGATTGCATCTATCGCCGCTGTCGTCCTTCGGGACAGTCGACGATATGGCAAAATTGATTGGAACAGCCACCGCTAACAACTCCAATCGCTAGCCAGAGTGACCATAGGTCGCTTTGCCCGTTCCTAAGCGAGCTTTTCTCTCAACACCTGCTTGCCGTGCTTTCGCGACACGCTGTAAGAGCATGATATGCTCACCCGGAGGCATCATTTGCAAGCAGGATGGTTCTTATCGTAGTCGACTTTGGCCGCTAAACAAGCACCACATGTTGTCCTGGGTTGTCCGTCCCTAGCTATCAAGTTAAGGAAAAATTCTTGATATCTAGATCAGGGTAGCAGAGAGTATTCGGATCTCAGTGAACTCCGAAACTCCTGTAACTGTGACCTTGCTCCTCATGCTAGGTTTGGGTAATGAAGTTCCACAGGATCCCGTCGCAGAGGCTTAGGGCTCCCTTCCTATGATTCCAGTAAATTGATATACATTGACTTAATCAGTCCGCGTCAAGATTTCAGGCACGGTGTTGCGGCTTATCCTTGGCTGTTCATTTCTATGTTTTCACTCGTTTGATTCCAGACTACTTATTTCTAGTACCAAGTCGCCACAGAATGCACAAAACAAAGACATTGTCTTGACTTAGCGATGGCGGAAAGACATCCTAGATGACTCTTCTCCTATTCTAGGCTCATGTGGACCGCTTTGAGTTGGGTCATTTCGTACAATTCCTGCAAATCATGTTCGCGGCCCATACCAGACTGCTTGTAACCACCAAAAGGGATACCCAAGAAATGCGTGGCACTGTTGTTTATCCAACAATATCCAGACTCCATCTTCTTCACAGCCTTTTGGGCCGTGGCAGTGTTTGTTGTGTAGACGGATCCCGTAAGCCCGTACTCAACTGAGTTGACTTCTTTCCACAACGTTACCTCGTCGTTCCACTTGAGGACGCCCATGACAGGCCCGAAAATCTCCTCCTGGGCGATACGCATGCTTTGCTTGACATCGGAAAAGATCGTAGGAGCCCAGAAGCAGCCATTTGCCAGCTCACCAGTCACTTCGGCAGGGTGCCCACCAGCAACCAGCGTGGCACCCTCCTTTTTTCCAATTTCTACATACTTCTTGACTCGCTCAATAGCTTTCCTGTCTACCAGAGCACCCATAGTCGTCTCGGTCTTAAGGGGGTTGCCAGGCTTATGAGTGTTGTTGATTGCTTCGACCACCAGTTTCAGCACCTCGTCATGGATAGTCTCGTGGAGGAACACTCGTGAAGTAGAGGAGCAGGACTGGCCACACCAGGCCCAATTCATGCCTTTGACAATTCCATCGACTAACTTGGGGATATCAGCATCTGGGTAGGCAACAAGTGCGTTCTTCCCGCCCAGCTCATGGGTGGTGAGCTTCAGTGTGTCGGCGGCGCTCCTCGAGATAGCTCGCCCGACTGGGACACTGCCAACCAGAGTAACTTTCTTGACAATCGGATGGCTAGACAACATCTCGCCACTCTCTCTACCCCCAGCAAGCACGTTGACGACTCCCGTTGGGAAGAGGCCGCCGATGAGATTCATCAGATGAAGAGCGGATATCGGCGCCTGCTCTGAAACCTTGATCACTACTGTGTTGCCCATGACCAAGGGTGTTGCCATCTTGATAGCCACCCCCAGCAAGGGGTGGTTGTATGGAATAATCCGGGCAACGACGCCAAGCGGCTCTCGGATTGTGTAGTGAAACATGTCATCGGTGAGGCGGTGCGTCTCGCCCGTCACGGCTGGCGCCAGACCAGCAAACAGCTCAAAGTTCATAGCTGAATATTCGATCTCAGCCCGCATGATGGAGATGGGGCTTCCAATATTCCATGCATCGAGAGCGGCGAGCTCCTCGGCATGGTCACGTACAACTTGCGCCGCCTTGCGCAGAATGCTGCATCGTTCCAAGGTCGAGACGGCCGCCCAGCCCTCTCGCGCCTCCTCAGCAGCCTCAAGGGCCTTAATGGTATCGACCTTGCCCGCGAAAGCGACTTTGGCGATGGCCTTGTTATTGATGGGGCTGATAATCTCTTGATAGTGGCCATCCTTGGGCTCCTGGAATGCACCACCGTAGTAGAGCCCCAGATTCTTGGGGAGGTACTGTGGGGCACCAAACTCGTTGATCTTGGTCATGATTAGGCAGGGTTGATAATTTTCAATGGTGATGAGGTTTGTTGAAGTCGATCGTTGTGTTTGGAGACGGTCTGCTCGATCTGATAAATATCACGACGACGACGACCCCATGACCATGATTACAAAGAAATATCAACCCCAGCTGGGGGACTCGGAGAATGCCCCTCTCTTTCACTCGATGCGGAGAACATCAGAACGGCGGCCACTAGATCACAGGCGAAATCGGTCCGGCTGACAAGGATGCAGAGTCATGTAGTTGCCCTTCAGACCAGGGTTAGGTCGTGCAGTGGTGGTTGACGAACCTGGCCAATCGGATGAAGAAAATTACGAAACCCGATTCGTCAATTTCTCGGCGCTCGTTCGCTCTAAGAGAACTCCCGTGATATAATTGGTCAAGAACCAGGACACATAATTAAGACTCAGACTAGAAACTAGCGGACCAGGATATTCCCCATGGGGAAAAGCATTCGGTGGTGAAAGAAAACATAAGTAAGCCTTCCCAGACAAGAACGTTTGAAGCATTAGAGGCCCAAGAGCACTGCCCATTTTCAACACCAGCAACTCTAACATCTTCAACACCCACTAGGGAAAGCATCCGTCCCACGACGTGAAAGAAATGGATTTATTGGCCTCAAGTTCAGCCAAGATTAGTTGGCTCTGGGTTCTGACTCACATCGTAGCGCCTGGGCTGGTTCTTTCTGGGCTTGTAAGTTGCTTTTGATTGACTTGATACTTTGATCGGCATATGCTAACGTATCCTAGTACACATATCTCACAGACCCTCTGAAACGGGTTCCCGGACCTTTCATAGCCAAGTTCACGGGGGCATGGATGCTATATATTGATCTCTCAGGTCAGCGAAGCGCTACAGTTCACCGGCTACACAAGAGTTATGGTCCAGCTGTACGCGTTGGCCCCAGCGAGGTCTGCTTCGCCTCACCTGCGGCCCTCAAGGAGATATATGGAGCCAACTCCAAATACCTCAAGGCGCCTGTTTACGATTCCTTGGGGTTCAGAAGCACTTTCACGACGCGCAATAGGGATGAGTATCGTGGAATGAAGAAGCGTATCGTCCCCAGCTTCAGTTCCACTTCCATCTCTGAGATTGAACCAATAGTCCATCGGCAATTGGATCTGTTGGTAAAGAGCTTCGATAAGAGGGTAGACCAGCCTCTCGATGTTCTGCCGTGGTTTCGTATGCTGGCACTTGGTGTAGTCGGTAAGAGCCTACTTCATTTCTTGCTCTGTCTCGCGACATTGAGCTGACCCTGAATTGTCTGTAGGGGAGGGATTTGCCGATGATAGCTTTGGTGGATTGGAGAACGAAACGCTTCCAGAGTTACTCAATCATATTGATGAGGTTTTCCCGGTTCTTTGGACCAAGTGGATGTTCCCGCTTACAACTGCAATCCTCGAGTATGTCCCACTGAAGTCTATCCAATCATTCCTTCAAGCTGCACCAAAATTCAAAAAGGTATCTACCGAATAGAGTCAATCGTCCGACTATGTGATTTATGGCTAACATTATCAATTAGTACTGCAGCGATGCCTACCAGAAATATCTTGCGACCCATAATCCTTCGGACCACCATGATCTTATTGCAAGAATGGTGAACGAGCAAAAGGAACTTCAGAAGAAAGGGGAGATTCTACCATTCCATGTGACTGACGATGGAATCGTTCAGGAGCTCACAAACTTGATGTTTGCGGGCACCGATACCACAGGTACTACACTCACATATCTCTTCTGGGAACTCGCTCGCCATCCTGAATGGATTTTGAGGCTTCGCGAGGAGATCAATGAAGCCCTTCAAGGGCAAGATACCTTCAGCTATCATGAAATTTCAGAGTTCCCCGTACTGGATGCAGTGATTCAAGAGATACTTCGAGTACGACCAGCCGGTCCGGGTGGACTGCCACGATTCACTCCGGAAGAGGGGGCGGTCGTGGACGGCGTGGCTCTTCCTGGTAGGGTATGTCAAACTTGGTCTTTCGTCTCCTCCGGGTCAATGGAAATTGGCCAACCAGTCATCAACGTTTTCTCAACGTAAACTAACAATGAATAGGTTATTATTTCATGCCAAGCTATGAGTTCTCAGAGAGAGCCTACCATCTTTGAAGATCCAGATCGCTTCAACCCGCAACGGTGGCTTGATGGGGAGAAGAATGGCAACGCTGATATGATGCGCGAGCAGATCTTGGTCTTTGGTAAGGGGGCACGGGCTTGCCTTGGAAGGAGGCTGGCTACAATGGAGCTCAAGTGTGCCGCTGCCACCGTGGCAAGAAGATATAATGTCAAGATTGGTAGCCCGACCACCGACAATGATATGGAAATGACAGATCATTTTGTACTCATTCCAAAGGGAGGTAAATGCTTGCTAGAGCTTTCCAGGGCATGAATATTGGTTCTCTTGGCAGAATTGGGAGGTATGGGTGCACATTAAACCAATATTAGCGTCTAGCTCGCAACCAAGTTCACGACAAATAAAAAGACAAATATTGACACACACACAGAGACACACATATATATCTTATGCCTCTTCATTATATAGCTTTACGCCAACATAGTGATATAAACACATACATTCATCTAATTTGAGTTCATCTTCATATCCAGTAGTAGGTTGCCCTGACTTCCTCCACAAAGAAGATCCAAATCAACTCATTCAGGGAGGGAATAAAGAGCATACACGATGGCCTAGCACTTCAGCCATTATGAGATGCGTATATAGGGCCAACAATGCATCTAAAAGTGAATTTAGGAGCTCATTTGGACTAAATAGAGACTGTATATTGATCATCTCATCTAAGTTTCAGTTATTTGCTACATCATGTTGTCTTCCTTTATTATCTGATTGATGGGCGAGCCTGGCTAGACATTCTTTTAGGAGATTCCTCCAGCTTTTGCATCAAACTCTATGCAATCCCCAAGGCCAACTGCATTGAAGAGCCTTTTGACACCTTCTTTAGCTTGGGCCTCGCTCACCTGAACCTTCCCCGTTGCCTTGAGTCCTCGAAAAGCATTTTCAACACCTTCCAAAACTGGGAAGAGAGCGAGACCCGGATGAATGATGAGTTGGAAGCCCATCTCTTGGGCCTCGCTCACGCTCAAGTTCGGGGTCACACCTCCAGAGACCATGTTCAGCAAAACCGGGACATCAGCAAAGTCTTGGCACACCTGTCGGCACTGTTCGACTGATGTAGGTCCTTCTAGAAATGCAACATCGGCGCCTGCCTCTACCGCCAGGCGAAGACGCTGGATTGCTTGATCATAACCCAGGCTCTGGAGGGCGTCAGTCCGAGCAATAATGACAATATCGCCACCCGTCGCAGCTCTCATCTCATCTCTAGCCATGGCGGCAGCTCTGATTCTGGATATATATGTATCCTGATCCACTAGTTCTTTGCCGCTCAAGTGGCCGCAGCGCTTTGTGATGACTTGGTCTTCCAGGTGAAGACCCGCGACGCCAGCAGTGATGTATGCTCGCACCGTCCTCGCCACCATGACAGGACCACCATATCCAGTATCGGCATCCGCAATCAACGGAGTTTTCCGATCAAGCGATGCAATCATGGCAGCATTTTCCAGCATGTCATTGAATGTCGCCAGTCCCAGATCAGGCATGCCAAGCTTTGACGCTGTTGTGCCTGCTCCGGTCTTTGTGAAGGCCAAAAAGGATTAGCAAATTGGAATAGAGTGGTGTTTAGACAACACTCATGGAAATAATTCACTAACCATGTAAAGACAGTCAAATCCCTCCCTGAGAGCAAGACGAGCCGTGAGCCCATCGTAGACGCCTGGACAGTTGACAATCTTGCTCTTGTCAGCAATGAGTTCTCTCAAACGCTGTGCAGCAGTCTTTGGTGTCTTCATTTCAGTCATTGTATTTTGTGTATTAGTTTCTCGTTTGTCCCTTATTTTAATTTGTAGCTTTACTGAACTTTGAATCCAGGCTTGTGTTTTCCCCCGAACGTCGAGAAGCGGCGCCGTTGAATGCAGACCGTATACGAGTCCTTAGATGTTGATTGGTTCTGAGATGAAGCCCTCCGATTGGGTCGGCGCGGACGGATAACCCCGGCCGGATAAGCTCGGAAGGATAACTGTTTTGTCCAATCGGCTCTCATGAATTCCAAATGCCATTGCTAAACCATGTGGGGGATCGTCGTATAAAGTTAGCCGAAACGGCACCGAGACCTACAATCTTGCGATCCGTCGAACCTACTGACGATACTCAAGCTGGCGAATAAACTGAAGGCAGTATGAAAGCAAGTGGATCATACCCGGCCTAAAATCTTTTGTAGATAGAAAAGCAGTGTCATTTCCGAGAATGATAAATCTCGTGTCCGCTTCTAAAGAATACAAGGTGTACTGATGGTCTAGAGTAACATAGGGCTATCATTTGGTCTAAATCAGAGGCTATTTCTGCAATTTCTTCACGTTTAATATCATCATGCCGGCCCTTCTAGCTAGCCAGAACGATGATATGGCAGAATTATTAGGATTTCTTCGAGAATCTCGTCAAGTTCGCCTTCCCGCGACATTAGACTTGTGTGAGTTTGGCAACTACTTCGTCATATACTATACGAAAGGATATACGTCTGACAAGCAAATGTAGCGAAAACTCTACGCCCAAACCTTTTGCAGCAAATTCGCGAGTTAGCAACTTCTCTTGAGCAGCATGGGCAACCCAGGGAAGCGGAGGCTTTCCGCGATCTCGTGAGGCACTGTCTCGACTCGACCGACTTTGGAGGTCTGGGTCTGGATCTTGATCAGCCCCTGAGCCGAGACGAAACGGCAGAGGTTATCTTCTTCGCCTCGGCCTACTTAGAGGCATTGAACTCCGTTGACCGGTCCAGAGAGCCTACTGCACCATTGTCGTGTCGCCCTACTGGCCGCAGGGGAATGACCTTGTCTGAGAAGATATTTGCATCTCATGACGTGGAGAGGAATGGGGAAGTCAAGCCGGGGGACGTCATCCGTGTAGACATCGACTGGGTCATTGCCTCTGAGCTGTCATGGGCCGGGATGGCGTCAACCTACGATGACTTTGGGAAGCCAGGCGTCTTTCGAAATGACCGAATCTGGCTAGCAGGAGACCACGTCGTTGATCCCAGAGTCATGGACCACCCCAAGATCAAGCCGCTTGTGGAGGCGAGTGAAAAGGCCCGGAAAGTGTTCAAGATGACCGAATACCAAGGAATGAACTACACCATCATGCATACCGAGTTCTGCCGCGAGCGGGCGCAGCCGGGCATGCTCATCATCGGCTCTGATTCGCACACATGCTCCGCCGGCTCGGTGTCCGCGCTGGCGATCGGCCTGGGAGTGACCGATGTGACCATGCCGCTGGTACTCGGGCAAACCTGGTTTAAGATCCCCGAGACGGTCGAGATCCGATTTATCAATCAGCCGAAGCCAGGCTTGGGAGGCAAGGATGTGATCTTGTACGTTCTCAAGGAGCTGAAGCGCAACACTGTGGCAGCAGATCGCGTGGTCGAGTACACAGGACCTGGAGTCAAACACCTATCGTGTGATGCACGCTTTGCCATAGCCAACATGACTACTGTATGTATTCTGACTGAGACTTATTCTTCGTCGTTGTCTCGGTCTACAAAGCTGACATGATCAGGAATTCGGCGGCGTTTCCGGCATATTTGTACCTGACGCGACCACAACGGACTTTATCAATCGCAGAAAGCACCCAAAGTACAGGAAACACTCAACGTACTATCAGCCTGACGAGGATGCCGAGTACGCTGAGACTCATATTATAGACCTCGACAAGGTAGAATCCTTTGTCGCCCGGTACCCTAGTCCTGACGACGTCGTACCAGTTGCCGATGTGGCCGGCACCAAGCTGGACGGGTGCTTCATTGGTGCCTGTACGACGGCAGAGGAGGATCTCGTCCTTGCCGCTTTGGTTTTGAGGGCTGGTTTGGAGAAGGGACTGAGGCCTGTGTCTCACGGAAAGCGCAAGGTGAGCCCCGGGTCGCGACCAATCCTATCTCACCTAAAAGCAAAGGGGCTACTGCAGATATACGAGCAAGCCGGCTTTGAGATTGGTGTTCCAGGATTCAGCTACTGTGTCGGGATGGGCGCAGACAAGGCTGGAAATGGCGAGGTCTGGCTAAGCAGTCAGAATCGCAACTTTGAGAACCGCATGGGTCCTGGTAAGTACTCAAGAACATTTTTGCACCTCTCTAGTTCGACATTTTCAGGATATTGACGGTAAATTAGGTGCTATCGGCAGTATAACGTCTGCCGTGACGGTGGCGGCAAGTAGTTTCTCCATGCAGACGACTGATTCTAAAGAATTACTGGACAAGGTAGATTTAAAAGAGCTCAAGCAGTTGCTAGGGATCAAGACAACTCCTTCTCAGAGCATCACATATGTCCACCCTGCTTCCGAGGCCAGGCGGACTAAATCCAAGGACGTTGAGGCTTCCATATCTCCCACATCCCAGGAATCCGACGCGGATCTAGGGGATGCTCATGGTACCATCATTAGCGGCAAGGTGCACACACTCGAAGATTTTATTGACACTGACGCCCTCGCCCCTGCGGAAGTACTCGGGCCCGAAGTGACCAAGGAGGCACTGGGAAACGCTTGCCTAAAATACACGCATCCCGGGTTCGCACAGCGTGTCAAGGACGGTCGCAGTATCGTCGTCGCCGGTAAGGCATTCGGCGTGGGAAGCTCGAGGGAGAATGCCGTGGCCGCGTTGCAAGCAGCGGGCGTGCAAGCCGTGATTGCAAAGTCATTTGCGTTCATCTACGGTCGGAACCAGCCAAATCTTGGTATGCTCGGCTTCGTCATCACAGATGGAAGGTTCCACGAACTCGCTCAAGATGGCGAACAGATAGTGATTACCATGGAGCGTCGCAAAGTCCTCGTCGCTGGCCAAGAATTTACATTTCAGTTGAGTGACCTAGAGTGGCAACTAGTTAAGATAGGTGGCATGACCAACGCATTCCGTCTGTGGGGGAAGAATGTGTTGGAGACAATGACGGGTCAAAAGATGCCAGCTCATACTGTCTCAGGGGTGTTGGAACGGGACGCATCTTCCGAGGCAATGCAGTGGTAGGTGAGACAGATACAGCAGTGCTTGAAATTCATAGTCAAATGAACTCTACCTCCTTGAACGAATAAATGAACAGATAGTTTAACCGGAGCAAACGGCAGCGATTTACGACAACTTGGGGCTCCCTGCTCAAAACGCAACTGATACCAAAAATTCGTATTTATTAAAGTAGGCTTCTCGTGGTTATTTTCAATTGTTCATCTACTCATTCCATGCTTATCATACAAAGTATCACGTGTGAAGCCTCTCTGTTTTGCCGGGGAGACAGACCATCTTTTCGTAACTTGAGGCAAAAACAATCAGTGACAATCGTTGTTCCCTCGAGCATAAGGTATTCCAGACTCCTGATAGGATTCTACTCAGCTTGAAAATTATAAGAATCTTTAAAGACCCTCACCATTTGGCATATCTATCTGGATGAATGAGTAGCAATACTTTGGAATATCAATTTCGTGTATAGGGTAGGTGAGTGTAACATCATCATTGGATGACTTGATGCCTCAGGCTTGAGTTAACCCCACATTTGTAGCTTGAGACTTCCCGCAATGCATCCGAGCGCCAATCGTTTTTATGGGGTCAATCCCCACTCATGCAAGACCATCCCGCTTACACATAACTCCTACATTTCGTAATTACGGCAATCACCTAGACTCGCTTTCATTCCAATCTCATCTTCACGTCGGCGTCCTACACGTATGTGAAAGTTCCCAATCACTCGCAGGAGATCCAGGCCCAATAGTTTCTGCCCAGCGCGCAAACACTAGGCTCCTTCTGGTCATGGCTCCTGGTGAGCCGGAAACCGTTTTCAAAACTCATCACCCGGTCCTCGCCCCCCGACCGCCAGGTCATGGTACATCTAGCCCTAGAGCTAGGACTGCATTGGAAGACCAACAAGGCAGCATAGCTCAAAGGCTTGAGAGACACAAGGGAGGAAGCCGCGTGACCACTCGCGTACGAATCGCCTGCCAGCATTGTCGGCAGTCTAAGGTATGCCGATACTCCAAGATCCCTGTTTCGATCGATCTTATGCACTTTGCTCGATATAGGTTTGACGGAAAATCTACAGTTGCGGTGTGAAGGCTCAGTCGGCGGACTTCAGCCATGCCAACGCTGCAGCGAGCTTAGGCGGCCATGTGTATTTGACAACAAATTCAGGCGAGTTAGCAAGAAGGCGTAATAACAGCTCTGCCCCCGCATCATATCACCTCTATTATTCCTGACTTTGCTTTCTAGGACTCTTAGTGATATTGCTGATCAAGTCAATATTCTCAAAACCTTTAGTGCGCTGCCCTCTAATGGTGCTACACTGACTGCCGTTCCTGTATCTTCATCACTACCACAACGAAGGACAGCAGTAAACTCAACAAGTGCCGGGAACCAGCAACTCCTAGATGGCTGTCAGAGGCCCCTCCCGGGCGATAGCTTAGACTCTGATCGACTTCGGGAGAGAGAACGCTCTCATAGTAACGCCACCGCCTCTGATCATGGCAAACTATCAGCACAGCCCACACATGGACCCTTGAGCTCACGAAGCCTTGAGTCTATCGAACTTACCCCAGATGAAATTGAGTCTTATTTTGAAATGCACTGCTCCCAAGATTCTCTCTTGGAACATTGACTAACCAGTGGGATAGATTTTACACCTCCTATCACCCAATCTTCCCCATCCTCTCGTTCTCTGTCTCACCAGATTCCATCTACGACTCCTCGCCACTACTCTTCTGGACTATTATCGTCACAGCCGCCCGCCATGACGCTGCAGACTTTTCACTATTGCTGTCCCTCTTACCCGCCGTCAGAAGGCTGCTCTGGTCCACAATCCCAGCCACCCCCCATACGCTGCCGTCGCTGCAAGCCATGGCAATACTCTGTCTCTGGGCTTTCCCTGTGTCTACTATGCCCGAGGACACTACTTTCGTATTGTCGGGGATCCTTCAATCGGCAGCAATGCATGTCGGGCTTCATCGACCTGATATTCTCGAACTGTATTCCAGAACCCGGTCAACACTCGGCAGACCAGAGTTTTTACGGGCTGTTCGGTGTTGGTGCTCCATCTATCTCGCCATCGAAGGGTGAGTCGGGAATTTTTTCACCCTTGCCTCTTCTTTGTTTGATAGTTTGATACTCATTGATCTCGTGTAGTGCATCGATAGGCAATGGCCACCTGCCCGCCCTTGCAAATGATCATACCGTCGAGAAAGCCTCAATCGGCTCGAATCCCTATGAGCTGCCGGAGTCGCTGCACATGGCCATTGTAACCCAGCTGTTCTGCGACAAGATACACGTAGCATTTGGAAACATTAGCACTTACAAAATCTCTTTAATTAACGACCATGAACCCGAATTGAGGGAGCTCGAGACCAGGCTGGGTGGTTTCCAATCTCGTTAGTAGACTTCCAATACTATTGGGTCTTACCTAAAGCTGATATGGATAGGGTCGGCATCAATTCATTTTCTCTCGGCAACTTTTCAGCTCAAGTCGTATTCTTTATTTGACGATGAAGATTCAGTTGACCGGCGGCTTGCTGTCTTGAGAGCGTTTGACTTGGGTGTTCAATATATTGATACGCTTCGACAAGGAGAGAAAGATGGCTTTCCACTACGCTACGCTCCATTCATGACTCTGAGGGTCTGTCTTTCTGCGGCCGTCTTCATATCAAAAGTACTGCACTCCAGTTACGGCCAGTTTGTCGATCAAAGGGTGGGCAAGGCCGCCTTTAGCGCGTGCATACCGTTCTTCAAGCAATCCTCGGTGGAGGATAACGACATGGCTGGCCGCACCACGACAATCTTGTCACAGTTGTGGGTGATACACAAAGATCTCTTCGATGATTCGCCGGACACACCGCCGCGTCTCTCAGTCAAGTCACGCTCCTTTGCTAGCATTGCCCACGACGGACTCTGGCAGTGGCGAGAGAGGTACGCGGGTACACCCAGCAACGGGGCGCCTAGTATCCCGCCACCCCTTATTTCTCCCGTCTCAATGGCAGTAGAGAATTCGCCACCTCCTGTAGGACGTCCAGAGACATCCCCAACCGGAAATGTCGAGGAATCGCATTTCAGTAACTTGACTGGACAGGGTGAGGGCGGCTTCACGGATATAAATCCCATATATACAGACAGCCAGCAGCAGGACACGATCCAGTATCAGGAGCTCTCGCCTGGCCTATCTCTTGTAGGCGAACCTACGCTTGGATCGTGGCCTCACATGTCTGGAAATGATGACGCACTGGCGGGCATTGATTTTGTCGACCAAGATGCCATGCAGTTTGATTTGTTATTTCCAAGTTATATCATGGACTCAAACCCATCTATTGAGTAATGTGAGGGTGTGAATGACCTGTCTCGTTGGTCCGAGCTCAAGGCTGGTGTAAATCAAACAGCTGCTGCTCTGGTTGTATGTGTTTTTGTTTTATGATGATGTTGTTCCTCATCTACAGATCTCACGAGGTCATGAATCTTCTTTGGATGTTTGAGTAGTAAAGACGCATGTCTAGAAAAGGCTGGTTTCAAATATATCTGGGTAATGGGATAAGCTCTAGTCTTTTATATTATTCTAGGCTAGAGGAATGAATGAGTAGTATTATTATTTGGGGGCTGGGTAATAGATGTATCTACGTATAGCTTATGCATATATTTTAAACCATCCCACTTCTTGTGAGCTTGTATTGTATTGTATTGCTTTCAGTTCTCTCATCCGTTCACCTCAGCTTAGCAACTACATAGGTACTTACTCGTATGACTTTGAGAGTAAAACGGAAGAGTTGGAGTATAAAGTTAACAATAACAATAGAAGATGCCTGACCCAACATCCTAACACGATTAATATGACTTTGAGAGTAAATCGAACCTAACACTCGAGGTTCGTTCCAAAGAAGCTTATTGCCTGCAATGTCAGCGTTAGATGAGGATATTTGTAGCTAGCAAATTGGAAGAGCACGAAATTCATATGTGGAATGCTAGAAAAATCAATTCTGAATTATGGCATACAAACAGAATCTATAATACAAAAAGAAAATGAAAGGAGAGAGAGAAAAACCAATGAAGAAAGAGAGGGGTTAGGTTGGGTTGGGTTGCCGGATTATAAGCAACCATGTGTTGAGGAATCTTTTGCGGGCAGGCTAAATGCAAATTTCAAACAAGTGATGCAAATATATATGGCTGCTGCGAGTCTTTGTGGAACTACCTTTCCCAGAACACTGGTCTTGCGACATTTCCTCAGGCTTTGATTCTACTCCAAATACCGTCGACATATGTTCGACAGTTAGTTCCCTTAAAGTACCTACCAACTGCATCTTGAGCCCACAAAAGTGGATCAACTTATTAGATATAATTGGCAGCATTTCTGCAGGCTTACCAACAGCATCTGCAAATTTCATGGCTTATGCGGCATAATTAAGCACATCCTCGCTTACCAACAAACGACATGACGAAAATCTTCCCATATTCTAAGGCTAATGTCCTTGGCACTGAAAGTAAGCCGTCCTTGCCATAAGTATTCCCGCATTTATTAAGGCGGAGCAGGCGAGGCAGTCAAGTTCTCCAAACCCCTAACAGCTACCTCGAGTCGATCAAGTCCTAGCTATGTCGTTCTCATATGTTGTCAAGGGAATTTTACTTCAAATTCTAGGCCGTCGACCCTCGCACGCAACTAGTGGCTTTTTGGACGCGCGAGAAAAATGGCAAGAAGCTTGTACAAGCGGTAAGGGCCCCCTTTTCGGCAGAAATTCTGAAAGAGGGCCCCTCCCTCTGGGGAGGATAGTGCGCGTGCTATTCCTTTAGAAATATTCGCTTGTCCTTCTGGTTTATGCTGACCATACATTGTTCTTATGTAGACTCAATTCTTGCTGAGTTCGCTGATTACCTGCTTTGTGGAAATTCCAGGCGCTTATGTACATTTAATTCAGTAGAAGCCCGGGCTTTAAAAACCTCATTTCTTTCCTACGCGAAGGATGATCATTGTTCGTATTCAAGATAACACACCGCAATTCAACTACGATGAGGTTTCGATTCTAACTCATATTTTCATGTCAATATAGATTGGGACGTGCACTCATTTGAGTCCTTCCTCCTGATGCGGATGCCTCCTGACGTGAAGTGCCGAGCTCACTTAGTAGCCGCCATACCCTCTCTCTGGATGCTCACTACATACTTCGCTCAATGGCCATTTATCAGGTCCGCATCGAATATGCCGACTACTCTGACGTTCCCTGCGTTGGTCCGCGCAGTCGCCTTCCTCTCTGGTAGACATAGCACGCTGTTTGTGAATTGGGATGAAGAGGATGCGCATGTCGTGAGGACTGACCAGCTGGTCCTCGAATACATCTTTAGAGCCTTTGCTACCGTTCGTTCAACAGAAGAGGAGACTGCAACATATCCGCCTCTCAATGATGTAATCGACATCCTAAACACGGTCCAGCCAGTCGAGAAAATTCTAACGCCCATCCTTGATCGTGCCAAGTTGGCGCCAATCGCTGCTCGCATTTCTTCTACGGTTGCTATCCCAGAAGTATCGGATCTCGTCATTTCATCCTCTGGGGCGTTGGTTCCGCTGCTTGACCTCTGTGTCTTGCTTCTTCAGCATGCCATAAAGTTTGATGAGGAGATCACAACTCTTATCGAATACCTCGAGGTCGCTCAATTTAAGCTGCGAAATAATACGGCGGAGGTATCATTCGAGGTCTTCACGGAGTGGTTGGGCAAGAACCCAAACCAACATCCCTTTTTTGACTCTGATGTCTATGATGCTATTGCCCTTTTGTTTAACACCTTTCTGAATCTTGAAATCCTAACAGATGGGGTTATGACCCATTTTGGGTCTCCCGGAGAAAAGGAGCGTAAGCATATGCTGGTAGTCTTTGCACTAAGGCGCCCTGGGCATACACATGGTGGATGGTTGTAACGACTGATTTGCGTTTCTTTTGTCAGTGATTTTGGGGGTATACCGACCACTTAATTTAGCATTGGGGCGTGCTTTAGTAGGTAGGGTGCTACCTACTAGAGGTGAGCAAAGTGACATTTCATAAAATTTCAAAAGGGCCAGTGTTTCCCTCTTACCATTGGTTCATCGTGAGACAGCAAGAAGTTTTGAGAAAGTTGATGGAAATATCTGGTCCTTTGCTCGGGTTTCAATGAAGTGGAATAAATTTTGGCGCCTCTCTTTGTGGATATAAACATCTTTTCTATTCCTGATACCTGTCACCCAACAGAGTAAAGCGCGATACGAAAAAGAATCATGATGAGCGGTTTGGCAAGTTCTCACGAATCCATATTCTCTTACTCTACCCCATGGAGTACTGAAAATAGTTTTCCAGACCTGGGAGGGAGGCCAAGTCTGCAAACGTTGTGGGGATGAAATCCGGCATCAAGCTCAGGCCATCGTGCTGAGATGATGCTTCCCCTGGGCTGCCGTTATATGTCCATTCCATCACGGGCGAGACATGCTGCGGTCTTAGCACCTGCCCAGGACCTGCCTGAAGCGTAACCCAGTTTCGAAACTCATCGTAGCCTGCACCACCCAAGAAAGGACTATCACCTTGACTCATACTCAGCTTGACAAGTGCCATTTCCAGAATCTCTAAGCCTCGCTTCTCAGAGCTCTTGGTGAAAACGCCACCAGACATCATCTTCAGCAATACAAGGCCCTGATCGCAGATGTCATTGAACTCTATGGTCTCCGTGGTAATGCGTTGAGCTACCAAGGTCATTACTGCTGCGCAGCAAGATGTGAATTCGGTATACGAAGACTTGGAAAGCCCAAACTCATCATTCAATGTTTGACAAAGCTGAATGGATCTGACTGCGCTTTTGAGACAGTCTTGTATCAGCGTGTTGCGGGTATTGACCCATTCATACAAATCATCAGGTTCAAAGTCCGAGCTGTCGAAGATGAAAGAGCGGCCGATGAAGATATGAGTAAGGTGATATGTGAGTGCGAGGTGTATGTTTGATCGGAAAAGTGGCTCCCCCGGTGTCAGGTCTGTACAAAAGGTCACTTGGGGCAACCCTTCCCACCAGCTCTTCAATGTTTGATTTATCTTCAAGGCCTTCTTGGCTGCGTCCCTGAGCTTGGGCTTTTTGGATTTTTTAATCATTAAGCTGTAGAGTTAGCTGCGTAATTTAACAAGAGAATTCAGAACCTACATAGCATCACGCGCATCCTCCATGATCTCGGTTAGGCTCTTTTGAGCCATCATGTTATGATATGTGTTGACTCTCTTGGCTGACTGTGGTTCAATGCAATTTGATGGGAGATCGGCATTGATATCTGATCGCTGGATCGATGCCGGCCGACCATGCAGAATACAAACACGCCTGTCCGCGATTAGCTTTTCATGTATTGAAAATGTGTATGCCGACATCATAGTGTCTCCAAATGCCGAAGATATATCGGAGAGTATATGGGGCTGGTGGGTTTGCCTACCTGTCTAGTGTATACACAGTCCACCAAATTCGGTTGCGAACCTCCTGATCATATGTCTTGGCCCCCCCAGAAACCTTCAAGTGCATATTATTATGTATTGCAATCTTGATAGCGATAGCATAATATCTGCTTGCCAAGCCAGAGGGGTCTAGTGGAAGGGAATACACGCCCATCAGTATAAAGGCTTGTACACTCTGTGGGCATCCAAGTGCGAGGAGATCAGGTATCATGGATGTTGCTTTTCGGTAGAAAGACAAGGCAAACGCATCATCTATTGCAGATGGTACATTGACTTCTTCAGCATTTGCATATCTTCCTTTGTTCTTCTGGGCCAGGTGTGCAAACTGGGTGCTCACGCAGAACACCATGAGTGCGGTACACACCCACGGCGCGTCAGCAATCGTGAGAGGGGTCATCTGGGTGTAGAATTCGGAGATTCGGTACTGGATACGCTCGTCGACATAGAAGTAGTTCGTTTGGGAGATGTTGAAAAAGATATCAAGCAAGATCGTGGCAACTTCCGCAGGTGGGAACAGAGATGCTGCATCTTGGACAACAAAGGTTCGTGATAATAACGGCTCGGCTGCCGCCACATTGATTGTTGTACTCTGTAGCTCACATTATTAGTTATGTCCAACAACAAACTAAGGATGCAATCAAGAGCCATACAACATTAAGACTCTCCAAGTCAGGAGCTAATTTTTGCTGAATCTGATGGGTGAAATCCAGATGGGAGAACTCTTCGTAGGCTGCGGAGTAGACGTTAGCGGCAGTCAACATTTTTTTCGTGGCCCAATACGGCGTACCTGGTAGAGAAGCTGGGTACTTCGTTCTAGCATCACCAGAACTGTCCTCGGTGTTTCGCAGATTCTCGAGACACGGTGAGGGTTCTACGCTTTCCTTGTCTGATCCCAGGCCAGATACTAGTTCTTCAAGCGTAGCTGGGCTACACTCCTGAACACTTGTATAGTGCTTGACAATGGTTTCAAGGTTTCTGATCCTATCGACATCGAAAAACGATTTTGGGTCAATAGGATCGGCTGGGATGCTTGGCTTCTGCACTGTGGGCCGTGCCCTCGTCCTCCTGTAGGCGTCTGTGAAGATGCATTGTCGATCCGCCTTAATGCACCTAGCACAAGGAGTTCCGCCGTTGCACTTTTCCTTGAGCCGGCGACAGCCGTCGCAGCTGCAATGCTTGTTAGTGGTCCTTGTCAAGGTCATATGTCATTATGTCCAAAACTTACGCCCGCGTCTTTCTTCTTTTCCGCTCGGCTGCAATGGCTGCCTCTTGGCGCTCTAGCTGGGGTGACGCATGAGTAGGCCGGTCATCAGGGGTTGTGCCAGTCTCTGGGGTTCCCGACATCGCAAACACGGCAGTAGTCAATACCGGGCTGGTCCAGCTGTTGCAGGTTGCATGAGGTGTATGATGGAGATAACGACTGGCGTCGGTTATGTGGTGACTGTGCCGGTTTTGAGTCGAGTTTGTGCCGGTTTCGGTGCCGGTTTGGTGAAGATGGTGCCGGTCGTAACGGTGGTGTGGGTCTGATACCACGAAGAGATGAAGCCATTACGTTAGCTGGCCAGTCATACTCATGCCAAAATGCACTTATTTACTGTTATTTTATATGGAGCTTAGCATATTCTCTGTGAACATACTACTAGGAGTAGATGGTTTACAGAAGGCTTTATCAAGGCAAACGAACCTATCTCTTCTCCCGTAATATCGTGTCGGGCTCAGCTAAGGGGAACAGGTCACGAGAGGCTACAACGTATCTGGCTGATGAACGTGTAAATTATTCAAACAGTGATGGCTTAAGTGCCCACGAGCTGCGAGGATAAACCGACACCGAAAATGACACACCACCGACCCCCAATGTAATGTGTGAATTGAACATTAAGCCTGACATCCTTTTCATTCCTGATGCTGGCATTAAGCCAAACATCAAATATTCTTGCATCCATCACTTGTCAAGTGATCGCGAAGGTAACTGTCCATGGGCAGGCAGAGGTATTCAGGCGCTGGGGGCTAACCTTGGGGCCCCTTTCGGTCTCCGAATCGTTGATAATACAACATTCCAGCCCTAATTCGAGCTCAAAATAGGTCATGTATCCATTTTTCCTAGTGATGGAAGGGTATAAACCCTAGTACAAATCAATAGGTCCATCTCGCCATTCTCTGATTGTTTCTAAAGCTTCGACTCTCGTCCAGTCCTCCACAGTGGTTCTAGGTTCTCCTCCATGAGACTTCGCTTCGTAGATATTCTAGCCTTGGTTGTCTTGAAGATGCGCGGCAGACCGGAATTCTCAAAAGAAACACCGTCACGAACCATGGCTGCAAGGCCTTTTGTCGAAAGCAGAATCTGTGGCATTCCATGGCCAGTAAACCCAGCAATAATGAATTGACCAGGCTTTTCCGGAATCTCTCCAACATGAGGCATGAAGTCTGCGCTATATCCCATGACTGAGCAATATGTTAGTGGGGCTCTCACCAAATCTCGGAAGGTTCAGTGGGTGCAACTTGGAACTTACTTCCAGTCCAGACCGCGTCTGCTTTGGCACCCGAGTCCTCCCACCCACGGAAATGTCGCTGCATGTAGCCGTCAAAGTACGAAATAGCCTCGTCAACTAGCTCATCATCTCGCACGGTACCATACCATCGGTCCTTGTTGTGCCAAAATCGCTGTCTTGCACCACCGACAATAATACTGCCATCAGGTCGTGGGATGAGATAGTCATTGTTGCGTGCGTCGAAGCGAATACCGTAAGTATTGACTAGATGAGGGGTGTCTGTACCCTTGGTACTGCTGATATGGCTACAGATGCCTCTAATGGGAACGATGCTCCGTGAATATTCAGGAAGAAGTTCTCCTGTGTAACCATTGGTAGCGTAGATGATCTTTTGAGCCTTGATCAAACCGCGGGAAGTCGTTACAGCCCACCTGCCATTCTCGTCCTGGCTTGTCGAAATAGATAACACTGGCGTGTGGGAGTATAGTTTTACGTCCTTATTAAGCAGCAGTTGAAGTAGCTGGTGGATCATTTTTGATGGCCACAGATGAGCTGCCGTATATGAGAAGCAGCATTGCGCGCCTTTAACACCCGAAATCTGTTTTATGGCTGTTAGCTGCTGCTAGATCAGGATAGAACAACAACAACAAGGGCATCTAGAAGTGAGAATTTACCCTTTCTGCATCTTTTTTAGGCGTGAACGACGTATCATGGAGGCTGACGATGCCTGCTTTTACCAACTCTCGGTACGCTATCTCTGTCTGCTTTGCATGCTCTGGGTCTAGGAAGACATCCAAAGCTCTGGTGATATTGAAGTCACAGTCCAAGCCTTCTCTCTCGACCAAGTCTTTGACCGCGTAGACATGAGAGGCCTCGAACGCTGCCAGCTCCGCTGCCGCTGCGGCACCATATATCCTGGCATTTCTGGGGACGTTGAGAAATGCATCCGGCTTGACATGTCCGCCATTACG